TTGTCGCTCTGACTCCCCAGAATCAGAAGAGGGGAGAGGATTTGGACTTCGGTAACCTCACCCCCTCGGTGAAAATACGAAAGAATTGCATAACACCGGTTGTCCGTGAAGCCAGCCATTGTATCCTGCCCCGCTTGTCTTAATCACAGGTTGTTTGATTTATAATACTTCGTCAAAATATGGATTACCACTCTCACATTTTATCATGCAATATCCTGATTAATTTCCGATTTGATTTAGCTGTACTTATCAACTTTGACGATAAAACAGATAAAAGGATATGTCAAATGGATATATGACTGGTGAGGTGTCAGGCGACAGATAACATATCTACACTAATACTAGAATGAAAATTTTTGCAAATTTTTGAAAGTTTATATGGAGGAAAGTAATCTTTGTAACCATTATACTTCATTCATCCATACTTATAAACTAGCTAGTACCCACGATTTCGTTCGCGTGAAATTTGAAAAGCGCTGCCTTGTGGTCTGGTATAGTATTAAAGTATAGTAGTAGTGTAAAATTTTATAGGGTTTTTCTGAGGCCAAGGTACTCCTTATACAGACAGCTACTTGGTAGCAAAATTATATCAAAATCGGTGAAGCCGTTTTTAAGATTACCCAGAACAAACAGACAGAGAAACAAAAAACATTTAGACTGGTTTTTAGGCATAGGTATCGTGCAAATAACCGTGTGATCAAGAAAAAACTTTTTATTTTGACTTTACAAACAGACACTTAAATTTTATTTATTTGTATAGATGCGAAAGTAAGTTTGTTTGTTACGCGTTCACGCCTAAAACACTAAACCGATTTAAAAAAAAACTCTTTTACCAATGGAAAGCTACATCATCAGCGAGTAACATAGGTTCCTTTTAACGGTGATAATCGACACACCGGACAACAGTTGCGAACTACCGCGATATAGAACTCCCAGTAAAGAGTGATTTATCAGCTTCATGTGATTGATTATAAACCTTTATTATATGGCTTATATTATTCTCAGCTATGAATAGGGCTCTTAGAATTCCCATGACTGTCGTCCGGTCGGAGAAAAATGAATCAACTTTTCTGTCTCAGAAACATCAATCTAAATTTTGGTACAATAGAAATTTCAAGTGCCGAATCTGAAAATCTAGAATTTTTATACAACTCTAACATACAATAACAATAATCTCGATTTTTAAGTCAATTTATCCTCAAGAGAATCCTCCAATATTAACACTGTTTACATTTATAAGGTATTTACAGGTGGAGAAATTGTTAGCGCTGAAACTGCGGTTAGTGAGATTTTTTTCTTTTAGAATGTCTTCAAGGCTGTTACAGGATCAGACATAAAAACTAACATGTTACGGCCTGTGATTGTAGCATCCCTTTTTTGGCTTGCTTTTAAGGCGTTATCCCTTATACTGCGTGCTTCCTTGGCCAGCTGTCCTATTTACAAAAGAGGGAGAAGAAGAGTTCTGAATGTAACATACGAAACCACAAATCCAAGAATGCAGAGAAGATATCCCAAATTCAATATTGTCGTCATTTGCTACAAATATAACTACATATTCATTTTGTAATGACGAAATTTCAGTTACGGCATTTCATACTGTACTGTTGAATATAGCCCGCCTATTTCACCGCTACCATCGCTTACTTTAAACAGTATAAACGCAAAAATAAACAAAAAGCCATAATCATATCATAATCATTTAAAAATTTACTTTTGGTAAAAATGTATTTCTAACATTCTTAATAAGGACCATCGAATGCAGTTTGCATACAATTCGATGGTCCCTATATCCGATTGTCTTCCGTACGCAACATGATTATAGTTTGAAATATCTCCTGGAAAATCTTTTGCTGTTTATCTAACGACTAACTACCCTCATTAACCTGCCCTCTTTTATTTAGGTTTTTTAAGACGAAACACAGAACGTCGTCACGATTGGACTGTGAGAATATCCTTCGTATTTGTGTACGATTATAAAATATCGGCCAAGTACACAATAAGTTCAATGTAAATGACTGTCGATTTACAATGAATGCGGTCGCGGTAATTTTGCCCAGAAAATATGCTTCTTTTTATGAAAAGTAGGGTCGCGAAAAAAATATAATGAGTGGCGTTTTAATACGGACAGATCTATGTTGTGCCTGTGGTAAGTAAACCTTACTTATAAATTTACTTAATTATGGACTATATTTTTTTTATTAAATGTTAGGCTTAAGTCAAAAGTCTATTTACTCATTGAGTAGGTAGGATAACCAATCTGTTAATAGTATTTTTAAATTTTGGAATGTAATATGTGTGAATTGCCTGACTAGGTTGGTATTGCCGTGGTCACGCGCTGACCGACTAACAAATGACAATACCTATAGATTGTATTAACTATAAATAATGATATACTATAAATAATTATAAATGCAACGGGAAAGCGTAGAAGTCGATTGTTATAATTTATTATTACTAGTTAGTTATATATTAGTTGTAGAGGTAATTGTTAGGGTAAGTATATACTATTGGAATCAGATTGGCGCTTATTTAGACCTCTTATAGTCTCGTAATTTTTAACCGACTTCAAAAAAGGAAGAGGTTCACTAATCGGTTGTTGAGAACTCTGTCATTTGTTCGTCCCCTCAGAATCAAGGACAGGGGAGGGTTGGGGCTCCGTTAACTTCACTCACTTAGTAAAAAGCAACGAAAGAACTGCTTAAAACTTATTTTTCTGTGAGGCCGTGGTATCACCCAGGTCGAGCCTGGTCCGTATGTGCCGAAACATTGCTTTCGAACAATAAAATTCATCAGCGCATTGAAAACGGTGATAGTTTTATAAAAATGAATTATTTAACACTAGCAACATAATTCATAGTAACCTTTTAAAAAAGAAACTATTATTGTTAAGCTGAGATATACGTCTAAGGATTTTTGTTTTTTATTGTAGATTTTTAAGTAATTATTATGTAAGAACATGTCTGCTTTAGTTTTGTGGACATGTCTGCTTTAAGTTAGGGGAAGACCAACATCTATTATTATTAACCTGTAATTAAGGCAACACTAATGCTTATATACCACTGCCATTATATCTCTTGCTTTTAAGATGTATGTTTTTGTTGATTGTCCAAATAAATAAAATGAAAATGAAAAAAAAAACAGTTGCACTCCGGGAGTGCCGACAGAAGTGAAAACTTATTGTTCTTCGATTAGAAAAGTTACGACATGAAAGTTGTATGTATGTATATCTATGTTGTATGTATATACACAATATAATATATGTTTATGTTATAAATAGTTATATTATTAAAGTATTTCAACCCAAACTCAACTCTCGTGTTAACGGGGCCAATATAAGTACATACTTATATACAGAGGTGTCGGTAAGGGTAACAGTGTCGTATTCGTAACATAAAATACATTCTTTTGTTTGTTTTTCAAAAATGCCTAAATCGCTTAAAGAAGTTAGCACTTCAAAATTAAAATAGTAATGTTTATTGCTTTACTCTAGTAGAACACAAGTGTCTACAAGTAAGAACGTAAAATCGTTACTGGTGAGGACATTTTACTAACTTTCGCTTTCAATCAACAGGCACTACGATTCAAAGTACCAGATCCTCTTTCCGTGTGGTGATGGATTAAGAATACGCGTTTTACCACCCCTGTTCATTCCGTGGATGTCGTAAGAGCCGATTAAAGGAGCAAATTACGCAGGACAACTGCACTGCGAAGAGAAGTAACCTTGAAACTAACCCTATACCAACCTGTCTAGCCAGCGTGGTATAGGCAAAAACCTTCCTTTTAAGGAGAGGCTTATGTCCAGCAGTGGACTATCAAAGGCTGTTGATGTGATGATGTTATATTCTCTTTTACTAGAGTCCGTCAATAGAGTGAAAAACATTTGGGACTATTCTCAAGATAGGTAAAAAGAACTGTATGAAAAAAGCGGCGGTGCATTGCGATAGGTGTCTCTCTTTGTTATTATATTGTAGGCTGTAGACAATTCCTAGCAGGTGCACTACACTCACGTTGCGATTCAATACGATCGTTATTCTGTAATGTCTTGATTTGAGGAAACTACCTACCTAACCACCACTGAGTGGCAATTTAAGTTTTTGTTTTAAATTTGAAATCTGTTCGATTATGAGTCTTTGCAATAAAATTTTCCATCCTAATGAAGCAGCTTATCTATATTCAAGGGACTTTCACATAAAGTATGCCAGAACAGATATTAAAATCCCTCTCCATGCTGCCCAGAAGCTTACAGAACTAGTTCCACCAAGTCATTGTTAGAGGTGAATACTTTTTTATGGTTAAAAAAATCTGTATCTGCAATTATCATTCAAAAATTGTCAAATTATTTATTTATTTGATACTATCCAGATCTAGGAGGGACAGGGGGGGAGGGGCCAACGGGGGCCGGGATAAGGTTATACATGGACTTTAAGCAGACAGCGATAATATTAATAACAATTCATCACTAGTGGTTTTATTGTTTAAACAAAACAAATAAACAATAGTCCAATAAGTAGGGCAACTGCAATTAAATGTTTTTAGTCCAATTATATGTTATCTGATAATACACATTTTTTAAAAAAGGTATGGTAAACACAAACTTCATTACTACATACTAACAAAGAGCACTAAAACCCTAAAAGCAATTACGGTTGATCAGATCTATATTAAATTTAAAAGGGACCATTTAGGAAATAAACCCGTTTCATACAAAAAAATTATTTCGAAAATGTCTATTTATGACGGAAAAGCATATTAATGTCACGAAATGTATCTTTATTATTATGAAGTAAGAGTAAGTAGATAAACTAGAGGTCCTAATCATAAAATCTACAAACTATTTGTGTACCTAACCAAATTAAGTCAAATCAACTTTTTATGAATAAAAAAAACATGTCATGTAAATATTATTTTTATCAACTTACATATTTTAATTTATAATGAGGTAAATTTCAACATAACAGGTTTAATTCACAACAAGTTTTAAAATAAAAATGTTTCCTAACCTTTGGTACTTTAGCATATGGTCCTGTCCTGACATCCCTGATGGTAGCTATGTCCAGCATCTCCACCTCCATATTTTGGTCTGTCCAGTAGAGGAAGAAACCTTTAGGGTCCACCCGTAGAGTGACTGGCACACCTGTTCCAGAATCCTGCAGAACACATTTTTTTTTATTCTACAGATAACTTATTATTCAACTGAGTTGCTAAAAAGGCTTAATTTTCTTTTTTGAGAGCTATTAGAACTTGTTATAAGATATTAGTAGAAAAAAAATTGTACTCTTATAAATTCTACTTGGAATTAAATTGTATACCTATGAATAAACTCTCAATAATAACTTTAATAGCATTAAAAATAATAGGAAGCTTCCAATAGCATTAATTAAATAATAACAAAGATAATTAACATTTCTCTTCTTTATTATGTTTAAATAAAATTTTCATTAACAATTATTTAGGTGTACCCAAACAACAGATTGTATAAGGAAAACAATAAAATTTTCAAACAAATTTAATGTAATACATTCAAATTTAACTATGCTTAAACTTTAATTTAAAAATACAAATACCCTATGCAAAAATAAACATATTGTATTCTAGTTAGAAACTACTTTATTTTAAAAATAATTAATATTTAAATCCCTTTAAAGAACAGTATGTTAAATATAAAAAAAAATACAGAGAATTATAAACGTGTCTAATATTAATATTGTATCAATGTAAGAAATACTACAGATTTTTTTTAAACATACCTCATCCCACTTGATGAATTTCTCTCCCTCCTGCAAAGCCGTCGGCACTTCCAGAGGCTTAAGACTAACTTTAGCTGATCTTGTACTCATCGTGAACAATTAAAACAATTATGCGGAAATAATATCACTATTGTAGATCAAAACCGTCATCTTCGTCTCTCAACACAGAACTATATGAGAAATCTTTGAATGGCACACTCGACAGACTCACACCGAACGAATGGACACCAATTACTATTTGGTATTATAACAACAGCGACGAACATATTAAAACATTTTACGCGAGGAATAACACCAGCCTAATTACCAACAAACAATGATTTTTCCCCACACACTGCAACTCGACAGGACCACCAAAAATCCAGAACGTCAAATTCTACTAAGCATACCATACCACACTCAAGAGCAAAACTTATTTCGATGTACTGATATTTCGATTAAAAAATCGAATTAAACTCGATTTGAAATGATATTAAATTAGTAGTATTCTGAATTCAGAACTAAAATCCTCTTTTTGCTGGTATAATTCTTCTAGATATAAACATATTATTTATACTTTATTATACTACATTGATAATAGAGTAGCTTATAATTTTCTTTTTAGAGGATTAAAAATAAATACTTAGGTAAGAAAGGTGGTTTTTGTTTTCTTTCAGTAGTAGTTTAAAAATCTAACTGTTTATTAGTGACACATTATAGACTGCATTAATTATATTTCAGTGTTTAAAAACGTAGAGAATGCAGAGTGAAGCCACATCTCTACGTAACGCCAAGGAATCGAGCCGATCGGAGATGTTTGGGCTATCGACGATTCGAGTCGCTCTTCGTTGGATGCGGTCCAGAGGGAGAAGCTGGTACTGAGGTGACTCTGCATAGAGATGAGAACAATATTCCATATGCGGCCGGACTTGAGCCTTATAGAGCTGAAGGCGGTGGGCCGGAGTGAAATACTGCCTTGCTCTGTTCAGTACACCGAGCTTCTTCGAGGTCAATTTGACCTTACCATCTAAGTGACCCCGAAACTGGATGCATGCCGATGTAGGATAATTCTCCTAAGCTGTTCCTCCAATAATTTGCAGTTTAAAAATACAAAAAAACATGCTTTTGTAACTAGACCAACTAAAAAGTACAAAATAATTTTCTTATAAGTTCAAAAAGAAAAATCGTTTAATCGTCAAATGCGTGGGGTGCTAGATGAATTTTATTAACTGGTTTTATTAAAAGTAAAGTTATTATTTTATAAAATTTATGTTGTGTTACTCATATAAAATAAGTCAAATTGTTTGTGTCATTGCCTAACAAACACAATCCTCAACCCTATAGTCCTGAACGAATCATGATTTCTAAACGAGTTGTCAAAATTGACAAACAAATGTCTAATGTCATCATTGTGTTTTTGCGTCCCGTCTTTCTGGTCTCACAATTTTAATTAATACAAACATCACAATCACCCCCTACAATATCTTAGGTGAACTAAAGGTTAATTGCGTTTTGTTTGGCTATAAATGACTAGTTATCTTATTGCAATATAATTAAAGGTATTGAAATAATTACCTGCTTTGATTTTAAAAGAAAACATGACCGGCTCCGATACACCAGTACCAGCCGCAGAGACTAAACATGAAAGCAGTCCCAGGAAGCGTCTACGACATCGCAAGAAACATTTGTATGATAATATTCTAAAACAAATGGAATTTTATTTTAGTGATGCTAACTTGTCTAAAGATAGGTTTTTAGGGGATCTTGTGAAGAAAGACCCGTACGTTCCTATCGAATTATTTTTAAAATTCAATAAGATTCGCTCATTGACTCAAGATATTGTTGATATCGCGAAAGCCATGAAGAACTCTACCTTATTAGAGCTTTCTGATGATAGACTGAAGGTAAGACATTTAAGAAGTTATTATAGTTAGTTATTTCTTGTACACTTGATGTTTATGAATTTTATTAAAGATTAATGTACTCTTCATCATCAACAGCCTTTAATAGTCCACTACTGGACATAGGCCTCTCCTTAGAAAGGAGGTTTTGGCCTACTATACCACGCTGGCCAGTCGGGTTGGTATAGGGTTTTTGTCGAGTTTCCCTTCTCTTTGCAGTGCTAATGTACTCTTAATAATTTCTAAATCCAAACCAGTGTTAGAGGTCTGGGACTCGTGTCTCTAATTCATTTACTGTTAGTTTTCATTCTAATATGGTTTTACTGCTTGTTTTGTACATATGACAGGAGTGTATAAATTGTTCAATTTTATTTTTCAGGTAAAGCGTAAAACTCCAATACTACCATATGATGCGGATTCAAGGACAGTGTACGTGGAATCTATTCCGGTGACAGCTAGCAGAGAATGGTTGGAGAGAGTATTTTCTGATTATGGACAAGTTGCCTATATCTCATTGCCTAAGTTTAAAAACTCACAGAAAATTAAGGTATATTGATAAAGATTCATCGTGTAACTCATTGCCATTTTAATGGCTCTGTTAAGTGTTCACATCATATGAAAAAAAAACAAAGTCAAATATTAACAGCATCCTTAACCTAAACTGACAATAATCAGGAATAGCATCTGTATAAAAAAAGGATGACAGACAGACAGAAAAACTCATGTTTGACCTGTCCATTCTATATAACACATTAAGCAATTTTTTTTTTGAAATATACACAAAGAACACCCGGATTCAGAACAACAGTATATAGATCACCCAATTTGTTGTCCCATGTGGGGATCAAACACACAACAGTCAGCATAGAAGGAAACCTGTGGTGAACACCTAAACCACTATAGCAGCCATACAGTTCATCAGTCAAATATTTTAAAAATTAATAATTAGAAATTTTGGTTCCAGGGTTTTGCCTTCATTGAATTTAACAAACCAGAAGATGCTCAAAAATGTATCAATACATTCACTAAAATGGGTTGCAAACTACCAACATGTATGCCACCTGAAGACCTTTCGTCTATTAAAATGTTCTCAGTTGATGAACCACCTCAAGAGGTAATAGAGTCAAAGCAAAGTAAGGAAGAGTATGAACCACCAAAGAAGAAGAAGAAAAAGGAGAAGAAGGCACCCCAGAAAAGTCTAGAATTGAAGCTGGGCAGTGAATCCGATAATGAGAAGAGAGTAGAAACTCCTACGCCTACAGTAAGTGTGTTTAATACATTTACTCTACTACTACTACTTTGTGTAACAAACAACAAACTCAAGGTGATAATTGGCAGATTTGTTATTTGAGAATAACAAATCTGCCTACCCTTATCCCAATTTTATTTGGGGTCGGCTGTAAGTATTATTCCATTCTACTCTATCATTTGTCATCTAAGTGTTTACGCCCTTCCTAGCCATATCCTCACAAACAGTACATCCACCTTTTTTTTTGGCCTTCCTCTTCTCTTGTACCCTTCAACTCCCATACCTAACACTTTCCTGGCCACATTTTCCTCATCCCTCTGCATGACATGTCCACACCAAGAAAACCTTCAAATAACATATCTGCCAATGTTGATATTAAAATAATTACTTTTCAGGAAGAAAAAAGCATTGCATCTCTTGCAACACCTACTGAGGTTAGTAGTATTACTATTATTGACCTGCCATCCTCTAGCAAAGGGCCTGTTCGCACAGCGCTATTTTACCGCACCTTTTTTTATTGCAAACTTCTGTGATACATAGGATCTATATGGGACCATCCGCAATGGCGGAAAATAATTCACGCGAAAGAAATCTGTGATTTGTGTGAAAATTAACGCTATAAGGTGTCAGGTGCAGTATGAAGTAGATGTGGCTATTACAGATATGACTACTTGCAGTGTGTACCAAGTGTATTTCCGATCGCGGAATATATTACGCGAGAAGAAAAACCTCGCGGTGTAATATCGCTGTGCGGACGGGTCCTAAGAGGCATCTAAAGCCATATTCAAGCTAAACACTTCTAAACAACAACTGACTTTAGCAACTTATAGAAATGTCATACATAGTACTTCCTAACAATGGTAGCTTTTTTTTAAAAGAATATATCCTGTGTCGCGAGGGACTGTACAAACACAACAACCACACAGAGTCAGTACAATAATTTGTGAATCCCACAAAGTGTGTGGGGATCAAACCGACAACACCCAGTGCAGTAGAAAGTTTCGAGGTGACCTCTTGGACCAGTACGCCATCCATGCAGACATTGATTTAGTTACTTTGAATTGTGCAAAGTTACTTTTTGTCAATGAGTTACATCATTTAGTTTTAAGTTCTATATGCATATAGCTTGAGGATAGTTTGTTGCAACACATTTTAAATTAAGAATGGCATTTGTATTGTAAATTATATATTAATATATCTATCATAGGGTGAAATATGCAATCAAACTTCATGTATTACTCTGAACTCTTATACTAATCTGAAGTCATTGTTATAAATACCAGTTTCTTAAGATTCAATGTAAGTGCTTATTAATCCTCTACCCTCTACTGTTTTCAGCTTACATCGTCTTTTATTTTATTTATGGTACATGTTACTGGATGAACAACAAAGTAATATTACAGTCCTTTACTTGCAGGAACACAAAATATCAGATTTGGAATCCAAAGATGAGATGACTAGCCAAGATGAAGGCAGAGATGGTCAATCACCAAGGAAAAAGAAGACTAGGAAACGTACTGCTAAAGAAAGGAGTAAAGCAAAGAATAATTTAACAAAAAATGAGGCACCCAGAGGGGCATTGTGGGGGTTGCAAGTGTTGTCAAAGTCAGAATGGAAGGCGTTAAGGAATCGGTATTTGAATTTACAAAGAAAGTATATGAAAGAAATGAAAATGAATATACACAATAAGAACCACCAGTATTCCAGCATTCCAGCTCCTGCTACACCCTCAGTAGAAGCTGAAACAGGTCAGTCTATATTAAATGAAAGCAACACGTAGATAGTAACTTCAAAACATTTAAAAATAGTCAAAGACATAGCTTGTAAGCAATCTTCATCATTAGTATACCATGCATATGTGTGCCCCATAATTCGATATGGTATACTAGTCTAGGGCTACTCATCAGAAATAAATCGCGTGTTCATAGCTCAAAGGAATGTCTTCGTTTAATATCCAATATCCAGTTGTCAGACCGGTAGGTCGATATTTAAATCAGAAAGAAATATAACGGTCCTTAGTATGTAAATCTTCGAAGTGGAGAAATTTGTTAAGCGTAATATAGGTTTTTTGAAGCTAACCAGAACACAAACAAGCGTAAAATTAACCAAAGCTTATTAAAAATGCCTGTACCTCGTTTCAAGATGGTCAGAACAAGCTGTGTGTACATGGCACCACTTATTTACAAGGCATTACCTGAAAAAATTGAGAACTTACCATACCATAAATTTTTTGTTGAACTAAAGAAATGGCTAATTCAACCATGCTTTTATTCTGTTAACGAATTCTTAAAAAATTCGCTTCTCGGTCTTTTCATTTTAGAAATGCATTGTGTTAATTAACAACTACAAACTCAAAATTGTATCTCATTGCTTATGTTTTTATTATTTTAACCTTCCTACTACTACTTCCTACAAAATGTGTCCTGTTCTCATTATTTAATCTACTAACATCTTTTGTACCACATTTTATGCAAATAAACTTATTATTATTATACTTGCCACTGTGCCTAGTGATTTCATCTGTCAAGTTTAACCCAAAGCCCTCCACCTTATTTTTTTGGGAGGGCTGAAGATAATTACTGTGTTAACTCTTAAGAAGTTTATGAATGTATCGTTGCAGGTATCCCCTCAGTTGAAAGTGAAGGTGTGAAAAATACTGTACTACTGGAAAAAATCCCCGGCGTATTTGTAAAGGAGATATTATTAGAACCGTGTCTAGACATAAGGCTGACCAAGAGGACTGTAAGTTGATCTTCTATTTATCCTTTTTATGAGAAAAAAATGGATATTACCAGCATATGAGCTATCAATGAGGTTGTATGTCGGAATAAACTGACTTAAACCACACGACCTGCCATACTGTGACTAAATTAAGTCGAGCTGCCCGCCACTAGCCCGCGAGTGTTGAGAGTTGCAATAGCGGCGAAAAAGCTAGGTGCAGGCCCTGGAGCGTAGAAAAATTGGATTTGAGAAATCATTTATGTATTCAAGTGCATGCAAGTATCTTATTCCTTTCATTCAAAACAGATTGATGATTTCGTGACCATGACTGTTCCAATTGTCATAAATATAAGACAATGGGGATACACTAACCTTTTTGAGAGATACTGAAAAGTAGAAGACGTAGCAGAGATCCAGTACGTCGTTTTCGACTTTTCCTATGATTAGCAAGTTAATTTGCTAATAATTCGTATATATCATCTGCCTACCCTTATCTCTATTTCATTTGCCGTATATACTAGTAATATAATTTGATATTATTTATATTACTTTTTCAGATCAGAAGTAACATCCACGCTCTGCACGTGGACGTAAAAGAAGGTCAAACGGAAGCCATAATAAGATTCGATTCCGCCAAAGCCGCCGAAGAGGTATGTACATACACACAATAATATCTTAGATTTCACAACGCATCTAAAACTCATAAGTGTTAATTCGGGAGAAAATCGGAAAAAAAATATGCCTAGAGATCGGTCAGGCCGATAGAGTGCGGTAATACAGGTATCGTGATTTTTCAGTACTGCGCGAACGCAGGGGGCCACGCGCGCGTGCTGTCGGGCGCCGAGGAGCAGGAGCAGTGGAGCCGCGCGCTGGGCGCGCTGGGGCAGCGGCGCGCGCGCGGGCGCTGCCGCGTGCTGGCGCACCCCGCCGCCCGCCGCCCCGCGCCGCCCCTCGCGCCCGCCTCGCCGCAGCCCACGCACACGCACATACGCTTCGAAGACGAGTAGACCGCACCGTTCTACGTCACTTCCACCTCTGTTCCGCGACCGATTTCACCGCGGATCTAAATCTACGCGACTATAACGAGCTTACTAAAGATACGTTCTCGGATCTAACAGATATAATATTAGCGTTAAAAGCAGACGACATAAATCCCTTTTTTAGAACCCACATTTGGATTACGAATAAGCAGTACTGCACTTTGTCGGTCTTCCTGCTCGCCTTATGTCTACTCAGACACTGGAGTATTCAGTAGACAGATTATTAACATTAAAAAAATGAAAAAAAAAATATATATTTCTAAGTGTCTTATATATAATAAGTTTCTTGTTTGTAATTATAGTCAGGTTAGTAAAAAATGTGTTAAAAATTGAACGTTTACGAATAAAATATAAATAAAAATTATATTGCTTTCTTAATTTTCTTTAACAACACACAAGAGACGTGTTATAAGTTTCTGCAAAAATCTCGAAAGCTAGACCAAGACATAATTGGATTCTAACTCGAGAACACAAAAGGCCATGCCTTATACACAGATCTCACTGTCACTGTCTAGATATCACAGTATCTATCTAAAACTCGTAAAAAACGGCGACGGCACTTGCCAATACTGCTTTTTTTCGAGACTACTCAACGGTAGGAAAAAACAATAGAGTAGATTCCTAAGTTTAAAATAAATATGAATCCTGAATCATTAAATGTAACATCTTAAAGTACAATCTGAATATTGTCTTCAATAAAAATTTAATGTCGTTTTGTTTTGATATCTTCAAATTAACATAAAATATAAATGATTTGACAATAGCTAGGTATGACGTCAGGTCATATTATTTCATACAAAAATGTACTGCGTCTGACGTTTTGACGGATAAAAAGATCCTGATTTGACTTGACAATTATCTACCCGATTCTAATATTGCTGTCTCACGCGGCGGTGTTTTGCTACGAACATAGTGATAAGCACTACCCGAATGAAAACAAACGGGTTATTTCATTTGTTTCAAAATAGAAAACTATGTCTTTTACATTATACTAATATTCATCTCAACTTCTATTAAGCTAGACGCTTATAAGCGTGGGTTTATGTTGGTTTTGGACCTATCGGGTTAGATTTAAAACTGATAACCTGATTGCTAACTAACATTGCATCTAATCAATAGTCTGTGTGGGTAGTTGAAAATAATTAATACCAAAATAAAAGCCGTGTTTTATAAAAGAAAAATGTATTACATCAAATTAATGCCAACATCGAGTTCAGTCTTAAAAATAAGTTTCCTTATATCTTAGTTATATAGGCACTGGCACTTTATAAAAAATTAATTTATATTGCCTTAAAGCTAACATAAAAACACAAACTATAAAAGTTAGTGTAATACTTATGACATTTATATATAATACAACCTGTTTATTTCAAATGCTAGGACCTCTTCATAGCAATATTCAGTACAAAACCTAGCATGAGTCAATGTGATAAATGGTAAGAAGAATAAATTGCTTGCGTACATTTTATATACACACTAATTTAAAACAGCCAACTGTTTGATACAAAAGAAGGCCATCACAAACATCAAGATTATCTTGATAAAAGATTAGATTAAGTACATCATAATATTTAACAATAAATTATGTATACATTTAGACTGAAACGTTTCCACAATATCAGAAGATTATTACATTTATTACAGAACATCAAGTAGGCATAGAAGTCAATTGTCATTACTGTAAAAAAATATTAGAATAACAAATTACATAAAGAGCACCAAAGATTTAAGCTATAATTTGTGATAATGGACGACTATTAATCTAAGTACTTACAAAACGAAATATTTAACTGCCTGTTTGCAAAATATATTTTATCACACAATTGAACAAAACATGTTATTTTTTTGTTATACATATATACATACACAGAGGTAGATTTATTATATATGTACCTAACATTATTAGGACGCTTCCATATGCCTGTGCACAGTAACAGGAGCTAAGACACTGTTTTTGCCACAAGGCAGAACAGTTATATTTAAATCAGTTGTTTTTAACCTAGGCTTTATCTTAGCTGGTAGGGGACAACTAACATCAGACTTTGTGTCATCTGACAACACAATAGGCTCGTTAACTGAAAACCCAGTGGCTTCAGAGTCCTCGTGAGGAGTCATAGTGGAGTAACCATGATCTGACCCGCCCGCGGTGTGCGGTCTTCTATACCCTGTAACAACCCTGTATGGCGAAATTGGAGCCTCGATCTCCATGGCTGGTAATAATTTATCTTGACCAGACAGATCATGATTATCATCTGATTGCAAATGACTCATCTGCACGTCAGCATCATGCCATGTTTCCGCTGGACCGTCGACGTACAAGTTATGGCAACTGGCCGTAGTAACATTTTGTCTATAGCAGTACATCGCCACAGCTATAACTAAACTCACTGTTACTATACAACCTGCGACGGGACCTATCGCAGAATAGCTACCAAAAGCGTCTCTATTCACATGTCCGAAAGTGCCTTCTCCGTAAGGAGTAACGGCGCCTAATACGCCATTAAAACAAGTAGACTGCGAAGTACAGAAGGGAGCGGACAGAGGAGTCCTACCATCCGTATCTATTTGGCACCATTCACAACCTAAAACACCTAAACATGAAGAATGCGTTGTATAAGTTTCGCATTGAAAATCAAAACAAGACTTTAAATTCTCAGCAAAATTATGAAAGTAATGTGACTTGTGGTTATTGTTTTCGAGCATCATGCCACAGAGAGGTATATCTTTGTTAAACCGTGATATGTTTGCATTCGGACATTCATACAGCTCAGAACTACATTCACATGGACACTCACATTCAGTTTGCTCCATGCGATTGCAGTTTAGACACAAACGGTCGAACATACTGCAAGGGCAAAACGCGCCAACACTGCAAGACGCATTCACCAATCCTATAAAGGCATTAGTTCCCGGTATTGCAGCTATATAATAATGAACACAATGATCGCCTGACACTACATTAGAGAGCACATTGGGCAATGAAGTATTAAATTCGTAAAACCGCTGTATAGTTTTGTCGAAAAAATTATTACACAGTCTTTTGGTAACAAAACCCTTGTGATTTAACATATCTATAGCAATCATGGACTCTTTATGAGTTATATGCTGTTGTTCAATAGGACCAGAGCTATTCGGATCCATCAAACCGGGATGTGATACTAGATATCCTCTATTGTTCATGATAAAGCATTTAAGATAAGGCATGGCACAGAGAGGTAAACTATCTGTTAGTAACTTGTAAAGAAATCCCATAGTAACATCCATCGAAACAACAATTGTTGGTAAGTAGGTTGTCTGTACAGCATAAGATATTGAGATAACATAGCCAGCTCCACCAACATCCAAATTTGGAGGTGTTAGGATTATTTTGCCTGGGTTTTCTATAGCATATGTATACCATGGTCTCCTGACAGGCTCATAGTCATACTCTAATACTGTTCCAGGAAACATAACTAGCACTCCACTCTCAGTAACTGCATATCTTCTGACTATGTATTTAGAGTAAGGCCCATGTAAATGTTGTCGCTTATAAAAAGTTAGAATTGAGTTTAGAAAGCCTACATCTTGTTGAATTTCATTCTTTAAACCAGGATTAGATAGCAAACCATGAGCAACACTTTTTAAATATGCTAAATAATTCTGCATATATGTAACAGCTTCTTGGCCATCACCCATGTCATATAAATAAGTAAATGGAGATTGAAAGCTAGATGGACTCAAATATACAGTGCCATGGTCAATGGTAGCTATTTGTTTGAAATGTCTGCACATTTTGCCTGTTTTGGGAGGAAATAAATCTAATCTATGAAACAATATTTCTCTGTTATTCCTAATGAATAATTTGGCAGTTTTATTGAAAACAACTGGCTCTCTTACTTCCGATACAATACAAGCAATGTACAAGTTCTCAATCCATTTCCAAGAATATATAATAGACTTTGTAGAGTTATTTTCAGACATAGTCATGTTTCCAGAACTATTTGCTAACATTTCAGATTTAACTGTACTTATAAAAGAATATGTCTCTACATTCTCTAGTTTTGTAAACTTAATCTTCTCGGAAGCCGATTCTGGCCTAGGAAAAAAAGAATGCATTAAAACTATACCTGAAAAATCCATCACAAAGGCTCTTTTTTTTTCATTTGCTCCTTTGAAATAAACAATATCTTCAGCCAGATCAGACCAGTATAGATCTAATCCTAAAACTCCGTTTGAAGTGGGTAGTACTAATGAGATCATAAAGTCTCTTTCAGTAGCCTCCCAAACAGGACCTTCGATTTTGATTTCTCTACTATCATAGTGTCCTGGTAGCAAGGAAATAAAGGCTGAGGCCACTTGGCCAACCACACCACTATCATTTATATGTAGTCTCATTACTGAGTGGTTATTCGCATGAGTGTTATGCCATTTGTCTATGTGTAAAATACCTAAGGAACTGTTCTTATCCACTTGATTTTCATAGATGAGTCCTATGGCAAATTTTAGATTCTCAGTTTTGTTTGAAGAAAATGGGTAAATCTTGAGCCATACATCATTCTTTAATACCTTTGTGTCCGTAAGAAATATAAATAGTTTATTGTTTGGTAGCTCCTTTTGCAAAAGTAATTTTTTCAAGTCATTATTAATAGAAGAAGGAGATACATTTTCAGGTGCAATGTCAAGAGAAGCTAAATATTCACTCAGTAGAAGCTTATTGTTTTCAGTAGCATTCCCTATGTCAGACATCCCATCTGTGCTGCAAGCATCTTCAAGTTTTAGGAATTCCGACATATTAGTTAACTTCAGCGCTAGCATATCAGTGTCCTGCAAGGCATATACTGTCTCTTTAGCAACATGAATAGCATGCTGCAATGAATCCTCTTTCATATTATTGTCTATGACAAAAACAACTAGTTTTGGGTCTGGGTGCACAACTTTGTGATATAAATATCTCAAATTTGAGTGAGGCATAGTTGCACAATCTCTGTCAGTAGCATAATCCATGTGCGACAAGTAGTATTGTCTTTTAACTTTCAAGTCTTTGAAGCGACCCAGCATTTTGTTTTTGGTGTCAGGTAAAGGCAGATTATCGTATACATTGGAACTTTTGATAAATACAGACTTACGAATAGAGTTGAATGGACAGGGATGGGTGAAGGACGGAGTACTGTTGTCGTTGATCGCATTGTTCATGTCGTAAAGTATGTTCGTTGCTGAAGACAGCTTGTAGCTAAGTTTGTCGGTGATACTGAGTAGTACATCGCTATCAGATGGCTGGTGACGAGCCGTCACTTTATTAGCAGGCCGTATTTCAAAATGCGCAGAGTACTCACTGCCGACTTCGATATTAACTATTTCAAGAAATTTATTCCCTAAAGTATCTGATAATTTACGAACACACAATTTGTAATCACTACGACTGTTAGTTCGAGTACAGCTATCGCTTTGAGCGAGGATCACATTGACGCCGAAACTCGTCGTAATCATAAATAACAGCGATAAAAGCCTCATCTTGTCGGCATCGGCATTATCTTTGATCCTACTACTCACATTAATTATTACGGGAAAATATTTTTGCTGTAATATATGCACATTATTTTACAATTAACACTTTTTACTTTCATAGACTTCATCGATAAACTTTAAATTCTTTGTTTTTATATTTGAAAAGAACTAAATTCTCCACACGACAGAGACAAACAAGGGCAAGCTGAAATGACATTTTTAAAAATAAACATGGCGACCATTGTACTACGATTAGTTATTGCTATTGTTACATTAGTACAGACTATGTTCAAATCGAAAAATAAATAAACTGGCTGGTTTTTCTACGGGATAATTTTGGATAATTCGGGTAAAAGTATTAGTTTAAAAAAATACTTTGGAAAAAATCGGTTCGTCTCAAGTTATTGAAAAAAAATCGGTGTAGTGAAAAAAAAAAACAGAGAAAAACAATTATAAACATGTTTTTGTGAGTTTACATTGCAAACTTGTTTTTATTTTTGTAATATTTATGAGAATACGTTAAATACGTTGTGCATTTAATGTAGGTTAAAATTGCTCTTCACAGCATATCATTACAATGAACATTTTAGAAGATTTTAGAGGTTTAAAATGCGGGGGCCCAACGACCGTCGAGCCGTACGTCTGTCCCGGGCGACAACAGCCGGCAGGATTATTTAAAGATGTCCTGTAGTATTGTTCTATCATAATAATAGTATAATGTGTGGAGTAATTAACTCCACACTGACACCACATTAGTAGTATCTACATTTCACACGTGAAAAGCCGGGGCGGATCGCTAGTGTATTCTAAAGAGACAAGATTTGTATGCTTTTAATATTGTTTGTAATAAAAGCACTTTAAACGCTCCGGGTTTAAGAAACCTTCACTACTTATAGCCTGTTTCATAATCCTAGAGACTAAACTGACATTACGTGGGTTGCTGCTACTTTTTTGTGATTCTTAAATAGTAAAGGCCACAATCGGCAATACATAAGTACAAGGACATATTTTCACTTAGTGACATAAGCTACAGTTTTACTTTGCTTTATCAAGGATCCCTACGAAACTCTAATATCGTAACACAAATTGATACAAATTATGCAGAAAAGTTGCTTTAATTAACCGACTTCAAAAAAGGAGGAGGTTCTCAATTCGACTGTATTTTTTTTTTGTTTGTTACGTCATAACTTTTGACTAGGTGAACCGATTTTGATGATTATTTTTTATTTTGAAAGCTAGTGCTTCCCGTGTGGTCTCATTTTAATTTGGTTCAGTTCTGATAAGGGCATCCATGAGAAAACCATATAAGTCTTAAATTTGCATTCAGTATGTTCGCGACTAACAGACGAATAACTTAATATCACGAAAACCGATTTCGATAATTCTTTTTTTATTGGAATGGATGTACTTTAAGGATACTTTGATGAGAGTTTGGTTAGAATCTGTAAGTAACGAAACTCTTCAATTCTTAGGAGCAATTGATATACTCGGCTGAATCTTTTAAAGGCTATCCGGATATTTGAGTCACCTACAGTAACGACGTTATGGTCAAGTAATTGTTGTCATCAATAGCCATTACTAGTCCACTGCTGGACATAGGCCTCTCCTTAGAAAAGAGGTTTTGACCTACTATACCACGCTGGCCAGACGCGTTAGTATAGGGTTTGTTTCAAGTTTTCCTTCTCTTTGCAGTCCTGTTGTCCTGCGTAGTTTGCTCCCTCAGTCGACTCTTACGACACCCGTGGGATGAAAAGGGGTGGTGACATTCTGTATTCTTAATCCGTCACCACAGGGACAATAACGGACAGTAACGGAAGTAATTGTCGTAGTCGAATATAATGATCAATGAAACTCCTTAACGGGTGCAATCTGTGGCAATTCTAACTGTCTGTATAAGTCGAAGTGAACGAGTTTCAGGTGTTTCGTTTGATAAGCGATCGTGAATCAATCCGAATCGGTGGGCACGTTGCTCCTCCGTTTCATTAGATAGACGATCATGGATTAATCCGAGTAGCTTTGCACGTTGCTCCTCCTTCTCATTAGATAGACGATCGTGGATTAATCCGAGACGGTGGGCACATTGCTCCTCCGTCTCTTGTGATAAGCGATCGTGGATGAAGCTGAGACGGTTTGCACATTGCTTCTCCGTCTCATTCGATAGACGATCGTTGATCAAGCCGAGACGGTGACTACGTTTTTCGATATTTTCCCTGTTCAAAATCTTTTTCATGTAAAGCCGCATTTTCGAAAGTCTATTTATGCGCTCTTCGCAAGTCTCTTTTGAAATTGTTCTCGAGGTAGATTGCCTCTGTTGAGATAGGCGTTTTAAATTTTGAGACGGGGCCCGCAACAGGAGCGGGCCGGCGCTAGGAGGGGTCCGGATGTCTTAACAGCTGTTAGCGGATCCCTCCTATTACAGGCGCAGAGTGGCACACCATGTGGTTTTAGTCGGTCCGAGTCCGACACACCAGCCCGCCGCAAACCCCGGTGGGGTGACGGTCCGAGGGGATTTCCACACGTTAAAAAACAAAAAAAAAAAGGGCGTTTCTATCTGACTTCGCTTGTTTCATGCAAAAGGCGCTGTCTCATATGAGCATATTCAGAAAAATTAGTACTTGTAATTCAGATTTACTAAAAATAAAAAAATAAACAAAATTAAAAAAAAATAAAACCGACTACAAAAAACACTATTCCAAAAGAAACTATTATGCACTAAAAAGTAAAAAAGAACTGCATATTCTTCTACAACTTAATAATCAACTTACTTTTTCTACTCATCAATATGTAGGTACGATCTATGTGTTTACCACGCAAGAAGGTAGGGACCTACCCACTTTTAAATCTAACTCAATATATACCTATGAATAACAAACAACGATCGAATTATTATTTTTTAGTTCTCTTAAGCAAAATGAAATGAATATAATGTAGTTACAATTATTATTATTTTTGGAGTCGGTACCGGTACCGGAGTCGTAGGTACCTTCTTGCGCTACTGTTCCGTGCTGATCTGATCCGCACGGAACTGATGCTAGGTACTGATCCGTGTGGTGACGGATTAAGAATACAGAGTGTCATCACCCCTATCCATCCCGTGGGTGTCGTAAGAGCCGACTAAGGGCGAAAACTATGCAGAACAACAGCACTGCAGAGAGAAGGAAAACTTGACACAAACCCTATACCAACCCGTCTGGCCAGCGTGGTATAGTAGGCCCAAACCTCCTTTCTAAGGAGAGGCTTATGTCCAGCATTGGACTATTAAAGGCTGTTGATGATCAGTCGGCAGTCGAGTGGTTACCAAAAAATAAATTGTAAACGACATCCTGTTAGTTTGAAGTTCGACGCTGTGGCAGCGCTGTACGCAAGCCTGTTTCCTTAGAGAATAGCACTGCTGATGATTTGACACTGTCTGTTACGTTAACGCCCCTAAGAATTTTTAAATTATTTTATTCCCGCCATCTAGTTTTAAACTAAGCAGAGCTTGTACTATGAAAGCTAAATTGACTGATAGAATACTTATATACTTTTTTTTGTAAATACATACATATTATACATAGAAACAAATATTTGCAGATCATACAAACGTTGTTCCGACCCAGGAATCTCAGCACAGCAGTCGCATACGCTGCCACTGCGCCACCGAGGCGAATTTGCTTTAGAAAAATTTAAGCACTCTACTAATTTGTAAGGTATCATAACTTTTTATAACAGTAATTCCTTGAGGATAAATTTACACTGACCCAACAGCTGGTTTATGATTTTGTTTGCATTTTATGGTTCTCTTGTCTGTCCGTCAGTCCCTCCACAGTTCAAATTGGAGATGTTTAGTCCTAGAAAGCTTTTTTGTGTCTGTATAAATGACGCCGAGAATGTGCTTAAATAAAATATCGAAAGAATAAATCACCGTAGATACTTACCACCCCTACACAAAAACATTGATTTTACAAAGATATTGAGGATGATTATTTTCCATTGATTGATCCATTAAATCTTTTGAACTACTAATCGGACGTTGCTATGCAAAAATGTACCTGCCCACAGCCAGTTCAAATTGGAATAAAATATCAGGACACCAAGAGATGAAAGATCATGACGGTTGTATGTATGTAGGTATTATAGATTAACAAGGAAAAATATCAGGGCTCTGTTAGGGTACGAGTAGTAGTAGGCAGATTTCGTATAAAATACAAAATCCTTAGAAAAAAAAATGCTGAATGCACTTGTTACTTGTTTAAAACAGACATTAATTAATAACGTAACCATACACTGCTTGTGGAAACGCACTTGGCTGTTTCCTTTAATCTTAATAATACTATTCCCTACAAATACTCTCCATATTTATATTATAAATGTGAAAGTGAATTTGTTTGTTTGTTACGCTTCCACGCCTAAAAGACTAAACGGATTTAAAAAATTCTTTCACCAATAGAGAGCTACATTATCAGCGAGTAACATAGGCTACTTTTTACTGCGATACCCGACATACACGCGGGTGAACCGGCGGGCAAAAGCTAGTTTATTATAAAAACATCTATTTGTTAATCACCACCACCACCACCAACCAATCTGAATGGAAAACGGATAAATTATCCTGAAACAAAAATTCCTAATATTGGTTACTCTATGATCTATTCAATTGCAGAAATGAAATATAAAATGTATCAGCGGACGGAAATAAATGAAAATAAGTTTAGCTTGTGTTAAAGTTGGTTTATCTTCTGAAAAACTGTATGAGATGAAACTGCCACTTGCCGTCGGTTGGGGTTTGGGTTCATACTTTAAGAGCAGTACATTTTTGTACTTTTACTCGTCTTTAGTCTAGTTGTTAGTAATTCTCATTGGTGATTCAGAGGTCGGAGGTTCGGTTCCCACCCAGAAAAAATTATTGCGTGATGAGGACGATAATTGCTTCTGTTTTGAGGGTAATGTATTTATAATACGTATATATTGAAAAATATTTATTTAAAATATTTTTATCTGCAGTCTGGTTACCATTTTTTTTTAACGTGTGGAAATCCCGGAAAATCCCGAAAACCGTCACCCCGCCGGGGTTTTCTATTCGGCGGGGCGGTGTGTCGGACTCGAACTGACTAAAACCACACGGTGTGCCCTCTTTGCGCTTCTATTTTAGGGGGGGTCCAGGTAGTTATCTCCTTCTGGACCCCTCCCAGCGCCGGCCCGTCTCCGGCACACGCAAACGCCGCCCCGTCGCGGCTGGCCAAACTAATGCGGGTGGAGGGGAAACCCTATCCCGTCCACCCGCGGCCACACTCAGGGCGGCATGAGGCGCAGGTGAGCGCGCCTCCGCCGAGTCCTCACTGCAGTCGCGGTGGCAGGCGGGACTCAATTCCCTCCTGGCGACCGAGTGCAGGTACTTTCCGAAGCAACCGTGCCCAGAAAGCACCTGCGTCAGCCGGAAGGAAAGGGTCCCGTGCTGCCGCCCTGCCCACTCGGCGATGACCGGCTGGAGAGCCTCCACGGCGGCGAAGCCAGCGCGTGGAGTCTCCAGCCGGAACGACCATCTGACCATGGTGGCTTGGCGAGCGCGAGGGCGAAATCCGCTCTCCGCCCGGAAGTCAGCCACTCGCCGATAGACTTCGGCGAGCACTTCCGCCTCCAAATCCCACGGGGGTGTTCCGGCCAAGGCGCAAGCCGCCTTGGTGGACACCGTGCGGTATCCGCGTATGGCTCTGATCGCCAATATCCTCTGGGGACGCCAGAGGCGCGCCCTATTCTGGACGGTCAGAGCCGCTTACCACACCGGTGCACCATACAGCGCCATGGACCGGACAACCCCCGCGTACAGCCGCCTCGTGGGAAGACTGGCCCCGCCCAAATTGAGTCTGGTTACCATAGCACAAGCTCTGCTTTATTTGGGATCAGACGGCCGTGTGTGAGAAATGACCAGTTATATACCTATCACTATTAATATGACATTCCATTATTACATTATCTTCTCAAACGCAGGCCAAACTCGTTGAATGACTACACTGGCATACTACCTATAATAATATTGTATTGTCTTGTGGTTTGACACTAGACGAACCGTATTCTCTTTTGAGACGTATAGTTTTAAAAAATTGAAAAATAGTTGTTAATTCTACCTAAAATTACTGTTTCAAGTTAAGAATGTTAGAAGACTTGATTTTCTTTTACATTATTTAGTTTTATTCCAGAACCAATAGTAATACTAGGGTAGGAGTGCCTAGTCATAATAGTCTGTTATCTAAACTTCGAAGTTTTCTATGTAAAAAAAAACTGTTAAAGTCGCACAATTAAGCTGTCGGTGGGTGTAAAAACATAGAAATACTTACCTATTATTTGTTTTTTTTTGTATGAAAGTGTAAGGTAAAATAATTTTTGCAAGTGATTAATGCATTGTTTGGTCACGCAGCCCAAGGTCTTAATTAATTTTAATAAGTATCCTGAAGGTCTTGGCCTTGGTGTCTAACCGACCTTTTCTTATCAAACGATTGATATAAAGCTTTCTCGTAAAATTAGACTTTTTTTTTATTCATACCTCAAAAGGCATTGTCCTCAAATTGAATAATGCGAGTTGGTAATTGGATTGGTATTTAGGTGAATATCAAAGGCTCCCCACTGTTGTAGTGGTAGTTGGGGAATTTTATGGATAATTAATAATTTTATTTACGTCCTCATTACTTATTCGACGCTTAAGTACTATAATGTAACTAAATAAGGTAAAGCGTAACAAGTCCATGACTTAAAATACTTAAGTACTTTATTTTAATTAAGTTTAACTAGAAAATACCTATCTAGATTTAAAAAGTAGGTTATTGCGAGTTAATATAAAACTGGCATTACTTTATATTTGATAATATATTTTGAAGAAAGTTATCCTTAAATTTATGCGTTAAACTTACAGAAAATAAAAGATTCGGTGCACTTACGTACTAATATTAAATGCTAATTAGTACGCAGAAAGCCCCTAAATGTTGAGCAGCTACTTTTACCGCGAATGTATTCACGTGTACCCGTCGCGTTTAGCTACACGTATGTAGTATGTTTCCATCGATTGGTCAGGGGCGGCGTGGCTTACCGTCCGACCATTAACCCAGTTGTATGGCGATACGCGGCCCGGTTGGGCACGCGAGCCCGTCGCCTTCAGTCCTACGCCATGCAACTGCCCGAAACACCGCCGCCGCCTCTCGCTCCTCTATGGGATCGCGTATTAAGGGCCCGAGCTCTGCCCCCAGACCTAGATGTCGAGCTTCTGTACATCGCTATAAGGGATCGACTTACACATCCTGAATGGGAAGTACGTTTGCACGCGCTTAGAGTCTTGGCAGACCTTTTACCATTGTCAGGAAATGCACTGTCGTTTCCTTTTGACCAAGTGGTGGATAACCTAGGGCATAATTCACCGAACGTCAGAAAAGCTGCGTTGGACGCACTGAAAGTTTTTTGCACACATTGTGAAGATGTAGAATGTGCGTCGCGAGCAATCTTAGACAAGTGTTCCTACCATAACATACGGCCGCATTCCGCGAATATTGATACAAAAGTGAATGTGATTACTGGCTTAATATTATCAATACCATCTGTTATGGGAATATTGAAAAGAAGACTTCCAAATCTAGACATGTTTCCAATATTTCAAGTATTAGGTGAAAAACTTTTTGATCCAATGCACAGGGATGTAGCACAGCGATCTATGTTCAAACTCAGAAGAATTTGTGGCCCACGGGATTACATGACCTATCTTTCTCAATTGGATTCTAAAACTCAAGCTAAATTTCGAAGTTTATACGAAACTTATGATGAAGATTCCATGGATGTTTACTATGCCCCCAAAAGGGCTGATTTTAGAAATCTTAACAATAACAATCAACCTTTAGTTAAAATAAATCATATTTATAATAATCCACACACCGGACCAGTAAGATTTTCAACCGATTCTTCATCAGAAGAATCATTTGGACCGATAGCATTTTACAATAATAATTATGCAAAAGTGATTATCGAAACAGAAATTAAATTTGATTCTGACACTGCCATTACAATGACTGTTTTAGAAGAGAATGAGACTGAGTCTGAAAAAAATACGGGAAGCGAAGATGATTATGACAGTTCAGATCGCAATATGCTGAAGTATAGTGATGGGGATTCAGAAGACATGGATGTGGTAGTTAAAAAAGTGCGTTTTGGTGGTGAAAGTGTAAAAATAAGGACACCTGATAGTGATAATTTAATCACTAGTGAAGAAGATAATATTCAGAAAATACCAGTGAAACATGAGAGTTTTAAAGAAGTAATATCACCTGTTACAACGACACTCGTGACTAGAATGAACGAAATGAAACAAGAGGCATTTGAGAGAGAATCTCAACTAAAATCAGTAAAAAAAAGCGGCATACCATTGCCAGTAATTCAAAATAAAGCACAAAAACAAACTCCCGTTGCTAAACAAACAAATGGGTCTAAATTAAAATCGAAGTCTTTGAGTGAGCTTTATGACTATTTTAAGTCAAAGAACGATATCCAGGAGGATAAAATGAAGGATATGTCTGAACTAGCTTTGAGTTTATCAGAAGTACGCTCTCCTGAGAAGTCAGGACGTAGTTCTCGAAGTCCTGTGGAAACTCACAAAGAAGTAGAGGTGCTCCATAATTTGCAGAGGAGTCCTAGTATCTCTCCACGTCGTCATCAAACCCGGGTGCAATTGGAGCGGGACGGGTAAGTCTATAGTAGCATTTCTTTTATTTAATCCCTTTAAAGCAGGTATACACTAATAAGATTAGATTATTTCCTTTCTTTTTAGGTTTGTTTTAAGTTTATTAGCGTCGTCTCCACCCAAAGAATACGATTTATTAACTCCTCGACCTCCAACTCCCCTTCGAGCACGATACGACTGGGAAGAATTGGATGTCGTTCCACAGCATGTTGCAGATCAACTACATAATACGGTAAATAAGTTTTAGGAATCAATAGAAATAGGTAGTATATATATTTCATATATGTGTGTGTGTGTTGCAACTCCTTGTTCCTTATTTTGTTACACTGAAACAGGTTTTAAAATTTTGAATAATCTTCTAAATACAACAATTTCTCACTAATATCACTCACTCACTCACTCTCACTTATACATATATTAATAACGCCATAGTACTATAAGTCCGCCATTGTACAAATCATACTTGTGCATAAACAATAAATAATAACAAAACAAACAAGTAATTTCTATTATTTTGTAGAATTTTGTTATTACTTGAGATGATTAACGCATTGGTAACATTTACATCTTCCATGGTGGCATGGTTTGTGATGAAATTTGGCATAATATTAATAGGTAACTTCCCAATGCAATATGATAGCATAAAAGCTGTCTTATGGTAGATCTGGAATGTACCTATAGAATCACAGATGAGCCATCTACTCACTAATAAATGAAAAGTATTGACTATTTTTTTTTCTACATACAAATGGCATTCAGAGTTTGATAGACGATAAATTGGCAAAAATAAAAATTAAGACATACCAAAAAAAAAACGTGAACTAAAATAAATAATTATTATAAATAGACTTGCAACGAATAGTATATTCGGCAGTATACCGAATACCGAATATTCGGCGAGGCCCCTGACCGAATAGCCGAATATTAGGCAAAAGTATTCGGCTGGATTTTAGCGCCAAAAACTTGTACAACGTGAATTAAATTATGTACCTGTTTTATGTACCAATGACTACTTAATAAATGATTATAAAAGAAATGAGAACCTTACCCTTCTAAATTTTGATTACCACAATAATTCAAATACATAGAATCCTCCATTTTTCCTATTCAGAAGATGATTATGTACCTGTGTTATGCACCAATGACTACTTAAATGATTATAACAGAAATGAAAATATGAATATATACGTAATCAATCGATTTTAATTTTTCATTTTACCAATTATTTCTCAATGACAAAATATATTATTTAACTATTCGGTATTCGGCCGAATAATATGTAGATATTCGGTATTCGGCCGAATATAATAAAAGCAGCCGAATAGGCCGAATAGTAACCGAATATTCGTTGCAAGTCTAATTATAAATCTATTTAAAGCCAGCTACAATAATGAACAAAACAGGTCACTTGCGAATTATAATCGAGAGAGTTTTGAAAAGTACACATTATACTCGTAATTATGTGTACATCATATTTTCTACAATATAATTATATTGACGGGCCTGTTAGTCTAGTGGTTAGTCACCCTGCCTGCTACACCAGAGGTCGTGGGTTCGATTCCCACCCAGGACAAATAATTGTGTGATGAGCATGATGATTTGTTCTGTGTCTGGGTGTAATTTATGTATAATATGTATGTATTTAGAAATATATAAGTATGTATATCAGCATTCTGGTTACCAGAGCACAGACTCTGCCTAGTTTCGAATCAGACTGCCGTGTGTGAGATGTGTGAAGTTATTATTATTATTATTATATTATGTACCTACCTTTACAGTGCGCTCAATTACATATTTTGGTGACTGATTCGATAGTCCTTTGACGCATATAGACCTAATTTTCTATGCGATTGTTAAATCTTGCGTTTTATCAACGGATCTTGCCATGATGTTTTCTGTTTGTAGAAATAAATTACTATAAAACGCATGCGTTGGACCAAAACCCGACGAAATAGCATCAACGGTTATATTTAAATAAGAAAGAGCGCTTGTTTAGAACGATTAATCTTATCTATTGTGTGTTTTTAAAAGGAGAATTGGATAGCAGCAGTGCGGGCAGCAGATCAACTCCACAGCACGCTACTCGAAGCCAGCAGCGTGAAAAAGGTGGAGCCGGCAGCCTTATCTCTAGTGCAACACATGTGGGCGCTCAGTGATACGGTAACTAACACTTTTATTTGTATTGTTAGTTTTTATTTAGTTTAAATATGACAATTTCTAGAAATATTTATTACATGTCAAACATTACAATTTAAAGGAGTCTACTTCCGTAAATTATTGTGTTTGATTTAAGATTTGTTCCAATCGGCTCGACTACATTACTGTAGTAACTACACCACTTGGAACACTGTACTTAGCTATCACAGAGCTTTTTATGGCTCGGGAAACGAGCAGACGGTTCACTTGATGGTTAGCGACTACCTCATCACCATGGACACCTTCAACCTTCCAACCTTCAAATTACCCCACTTCACTTTCCGTATAAAATATCAATATCCCTTTCCAGAGGGGCTCGTGACTAAGTGGTGACAGAGAGGTACGAAGAAACATATTACGCATGTTAGTAGGCGAAAACCTCCTTTCTAAGGAGAGGCCCTTAATAGTCTACTGCTGGACATACCAGCAGTAGACTATTAAGGGCTATTGATGATGACGATGGTGATGCATGGTGCTGACAACATCTAGTTAAAAATGCGTACTTAGGTATTTTTTTATGTTACGCTTTTACTACGAGTACTCAATCTTTTTTTTTAATTTTGCTTGATGTTCAATACAACACAATAACTTTTATCTAAGCAACCAAAGCCGCAGAGAGAAGACAGTATTATAAAAAATTAAAGGATTCATGGGCGCCAGAAACTTAAACTGAACTATTTATTAGCTAAGGTTTACCCATAAAATTACAACAGTAAAGTATTATGACCCTACCAGCATATCGCTGTCACCATAAATTACAAAGTTGTAATTCATCTACTGGCAATTAATACATAGTAGCGTGTTAAACACCCTGCCATAAAGTAAAAACCAGTATCAAATATTTCACCACTAGGGTTATGTTATCCAGACGGGCATTATACAGCGGTACCGCATTCCCGTCTAGATTTACAATTTTAAAACGTATCTATTTATTAAATAAGTAGGTTGCTATCCACATCGATTTAGCGATACGCTGTGTAGCCTAGATGTCATAGACAAACATAATGATTAATGATAGGAACGTTTCGAAACATCAACAGGTTTATCAAAACTTGAAGTATTGCTATAGCCTAGAACCTTCTAGACTATAACAATGCTGTAAATAATATATTAACCATTAACTGCCTCGGTGTTGAGACCGAGGCAGTTAATCGAGATCTCGGGTTCGATTCACTGGTCGGTCCAAAAGTTTGTATGATCTGCAAATATTTGTTTCGGACTTTAGTTCAGAAAAAAAGTATATAAGTATTCTATCAGTCAATTTAGCTCTCATAGTACAAGCTCTGCTTAGTTAGAAACTGGATGGCGTTGTGTTTTAGATGTCCGAAAATAATCTTTACTTAGTATAAAGTCGCTTTTTTGTGTTGTACGCTTAGATCTTTTAAACTAAGCAACGGATTTTAATGCGGTTTTCACCAATAGAGGGATTGATTTAATAGGAAGGTTTATATGCATAATACATAATGATGTGATATACATAATACAAATTCGAGAATTTCAAAGCTTTGTCTCTAGATCAGATTTGTCTAAGTCAACAAAAAGTCTGCGATGATAATTGTCTATATCCTAAGGATAACCCACAGTAACCATTTTTATTTTTAAATATTACCAAAAAGCAATGGGTTATTTACGAAGCTATTTAAAACAATACACTATTATTCCTCATCCAATTAAATACGTTGGATACATTGAGCATTTTATTTAGATTCGTTTTCTTCAAACTTTCATTAAAATGAATCCAATGGGTAATCCTCAAAACGGCCTGACCGATTTTAATAATATTTTACTACCACGTAGCTGTCTATATAAGGAGTAACTTAGGCTATTTTTTTTCTAAGAAAAACACTTTGAAATTTTGCCCAGTCCGGTAATCAAACCCGCTAAGGCAGCGCTTTTCAAATTCGTGGGCACCAACTAATAAAATATAAAAACGGCATACAACTAAGAATAATAGCACTGAGTGGGAAATGACACTGCGACCCTGTCGTGGCAGTTAAATTCTCGAAAGAAATGTACCGAAAGTCAACATTTGCGGGCTGCTCATGATTAATCGAAACATCAGCTTTCTGCATATGTTTGAAATACAATCCGTAGTATTTCAATAGTCAGTAGAATAACTTTCATCTGTTTCTTTGTTACCAGGTGGCAGCAGCAAGAGCGCCAGCAGAGGGCGCAGTCTGTGCTCTAGTTCGTAGTGCAAGTAGTGACTGCGCACGGGAACTCCTGCCAGCTCTCATATCGCGTATGGCGCGAGAACCTTTGCCTGCCGCACTGCCCCATGCCTTACTGCAGCGTCTGGCTTTGCACCATATTATAGATCTGATATTTGATCCTACAATGATTGGGGTAAGTGAAGTTCCCGCTAAGTTGAAGGTCAGCGTAACACCACGGTGTTCTTAAATGTTCTTATGGTTCCTATGTGTTCTTCTGGTTAGATGTTATTAATATAAAAAAAATATTTCTGTTTGAAAAAAGTAGTCTCGTTTTGCATGAAGGTATATGGGGATAAAGAGATGATGCAGAGTGCTCAACTACGGGCGGCCCTCTGCTTGGCCAGAGCTGCTGGCCCTGCAGCGGTATTGTCGGCCGTGAGAAGAAGACTGGCCGGTACAGCAAGAGCTGATGTATTTTGTAACAAGGCAAGTATAGTAGGAGTAGAAAGATCTTTAATTTTATCGTGGGAGAGCCATGCTTCTCCATGGCTGGCTTGACGGAGTGATAAAATGGCCCCGTGTTCTTTCGTTGCTTTTCACTGAGTGAGGAGTGAGGTTGTAAACGGTTGTACCCTCCTCATTTTCAATTTCAACTTTTTAATAGCACTAAAGAAACCAATTAGCCTCTAATTGGTTTCTTAAAACTTGAATACAAGATTTCTGATTTATATAAAGTAAGCGTCCTATTTTGACCCTATAAGAAAAGCACGTTTTATCGTATGATGGGATTACTTTTAAAGTTAGCTTGGCTCTGATGGTCTATAAGGTGAATGTAGGTAATTCACTTGCAAGCTACTCCTCGGCAGAACCTATGTGGCATATGTATAGATATAGTATACATTTGTTTTCTTTACTAGAATTGAAGGACTTTTCTTTTGTCAACAATATCGATTAGACAAATTTATAGAGCTGATGACTATTCGTAATTGGTTATCATTACACTTCGACTGTCATTGTATAAGTTACTGTATTAGCGACTGGAAAGGTGGCATTAGCACATTTCTGCTCAAATTTAACCTAAAGTAAAATGTCCTCAAGTCAGAGCAGTATTTTTTTATTTTAGCTCTAAGTATTTGTTTTATTGGTAACTGGGCTCATTTGTGCTTAATAGAGAAAGTAAGTTTATTTATTGAAGTCAGAGGGGTTCAAAAATAACTTATTGGTACTAAGAGAAGACTACAAATTAAATTTCTACTACAAAATCTTTACTGCAAAAGTAATGAAATGCTTGATAAAATCGTATATCAAGATGTTTTAATCTCTTAAAGCAATGTTTATTTTATTTGCTGCAGTTGAGAGAACGATTAAGCCGCCCCGTTGAAAACATCCGACCTAGCCACGTAGCCAGGTAAATGAAACACACCTTTTTATATATAGTATCATTAGTATCTATATTATGAAGGATCTCCATTTAAATATTAAGACAAAAAATGGAAAAAGTGAAACGTACAGTACTTCCGTTCATGTGATATTTATATTAAGCACATCAACAGCATAATTACAACATTACGCGGCGATAACATTTTCATGATTTTAAGTTTCACGTAATTACACAGATAATAAATATGCATGACTGTGAGACCATAGTGTTAGTAAAGTGCAACCAGTAAGTACACCGGGTCTACCTGGACGAATCCACGTCGCCGATAAGTAATAGACACATTTTTTTGTAAGAGTGATGTTAAACCATAGGGACACAAATTTACATTATAATTAATTATCTATCACCTTGTCTCTCCATCATTCACGACCATTCACCATGTTAGCATGTATGTACGATCAACAGATCGACACAACACGCGCTATATCACGTTGCGCGGTCAGCGATTTACCTCGATTAACGTTATGTCACCATTACATAAAACCAGTGCATTTTCGGTCACCATTCCGTTAGGTTGTACTCACACCATCTAACCTTACCATAACTCTAACTTTTATTTTCCCTGTACGGTAACCATAACCCGTACACTTAGTATATATCCAATGGAAAGACTTTTTATGAAAATGCAAATTAAATATTATACATAAAGATCCATACACAAATATAAGACCAAAACTAGAAAATGTTTTTTTTTAATGAAACAAAACAGAAGAGGCGCTCTAAGAGTTGGGTTCAGCAACATGGCTTTGTATGGAATGTCTGTATGATGTAATGACATGGAGAAGATATCAATGTTTTCAACTATCATAGACCTTTCGTTATACAGCCTTGTCATGCGTGTACGGGAGCTATTGAAAATGGTATTTAAAGTTGATACAGGTATTTCAAATGTACGATGGTGACGCATTACACGTGTATTAATCCTAAACTTAAAATTGTACGAGTATATCAATTGTGCATCTATCGAATCCTTTATAATTTTCTTCAAAGCTTAATATGCAAAAATGTTTAACCTGTCACTGTATTGTGGAATAGTTTTACGGATTCCTTTTTTTATGCACAAATACTTGATGAAACGAGACTGAATTGACTCCACGTTTTCTATATGCGTTGAATAATAGGGAGACCATGTAATGGAACAATACTAAAGATAACTCCTTACTAGGTTGTAGATATAGTAATATAAAATGACTACGTCTTCTTAAAAATGCTCTAGAAGTTCCCAGCTTCCAGTACCTGTAAGACGTCGCGCCAGGTCTACTCCGCCCCCCGCCGCACCACCTCCCCCAAGAAGATTGCGACCACTACCGGACTCTGCACCATTACCTGGTAAGAATGCCTATATCTCAGTTTATTAATATTTTATTACACTAAAAAGTATACTAAATAACAGATTCCACCTAATTTAAGACCATGTTAAGGATATCCACGGAGTCAGGTCTACTTGAGGCGTCTCTGAGTTTATAATTACATTAGAAATATTTTTTCGGACATCTGACACCATCGCCTTCTAGTTTCAAACTAAGCAGAGTGTGTACTATTGCAGATAGATTGACTGATAGAATACTTATATACTTTTTTTATTGGCAATACATACATGTTATACATAGAAATCACCCAAACTCCGAAACAAATATTTGCAGATCATACAAACATTTGGTCCGACCCGGAAATCGACTCCGAGAACTCAGGGCAGCAGTCGCATACGCTACTGCATCACCGAGACAGTCAAATATGAATATAAAAAAAAGGGGAGTTTTACAGTAGTCGCATATAACTGCTGCGATGGACGGATGGCGAAGTGGTTTAAGCGGTCACCTCACCGCTTTCTACTGAGCTGAGTGTTATGGGTTCGGTCCCCACATGGAACAACACTTTGTGCGATCCACTAATTGTTGTTCTAGTATGTTCTTTGTGTCTGTTTAAGTATGTTTGTAAAGTCCCGCGCGACACAGGATATGCTTATAGTGCGTGAGGTATCTTTAAAAAAATATGTAAAATCGGAGGTGTCAACCACCGTCTCACGGAAAGGTCAAATCAGATAGAGCGCTCTTCCCCTGGCCTCTGTTACACAATTCCTTCTTCTTCAGTTCCAATCCACTCATTGTACAATTATCTGTGTGGTGACGGATTAAGAAAACGCGGTGTCACCACCCCTATTCACCCTGTGAGTATCGTAAGAGCCGACTAAGGGACCAAACTATGCTAGATAACAGCAATCCAAAGAGAAGGAAAACGTGACACAAACCCCATACCAACCCGTCTGGCCAGCGTGGTATAGTAGGCCAAAACCTCCTTTCTAAGGGGAGGCCTATGTCCAGCAGTGGACTATTCAAGGGTGTTGATGATAATGACAGTGATGATGAATTAGACCCAGAGTCACTCTCCCAATTGAGACGAATCTAACAACACTCTAAAAAACGCCAAAATCCAACTACCCGTTTAGGCACCAAAGCATGCAAGACGCATACGCGTACATAGGATACACTCGAAAACAAAACCATTCTTCACGAACTCTTATGCTACAGGTGTATCTCAACCAGGAAGGGAATATATACTGAAGCCGTTGTCACCGATCGCTTTAAGTGACAGGTAAGTTGACTTTCTGTACTAAATACGTAAGTCTATATTATATTAATAAATAGGTAAAAAGATTATAAGTAACTGGTATTGGTACATTAGACATACTTAATCAAGAAAAGAGAAAGAAAAAGTGCCTAATACGTCTTTACAAGAGCAATAGACGCTAAATAATTTTTTGTCTGCCTGAATGTTTGTAAAAGATGGATGCGGTTTTCACAGTAGTATTTTTTGTTTTGACATATAATCTGAAGCATGGTATAACCTAATTCGCCACATAGATACCAAATCCCTACTAATATTATAAATGCGATTGTAACTCTGTCTGTCTGTTACGATTTCACGTCAAAACTGCTTTACCGATTTTACTTTAATTCTTGCGGAAGGAAAATAGGCTACGGCGCAATAACCGCAATAACTGACATACACAAGGGCGGAGCCGCGTTTAAAAGTTACTACTCCATATCTTTACAAAAAACGTAACTCGGTCATGTCTATATACATAAAATAAATTTACAAAAATGTGGAAAAAGTAGTAGGTTAAAATTGACAAGATATGCGCCATCTCACTTGAACTAAGTAACATAACAAGTATCATTTTTTTTATTATTATTATAATATATTTACTAAAGTATCCACGTGGCAATAGTTAGTCAATTATTAATAGGAAAATGTTGCCAGGCCGCATAAAAGGACTTGACTATTGACCTTCGTCACCGTGAGAACCATAACAGTTGAATACATTTTATTTAAGACTAACATTACCTGAATGAATATTTTATGCTCCTTTATTGATAAAATTTAATGTGGCATGATTCGTAAATGAAAATGAAGATTTTGTAGACTTCTCAAGGTAGTTTCATAAAATTAAGGATGTACTACTCTGTCAAGAAAGTACCGAGAAAAGATCAATAATACGCAAAATGTTTGTTATTCATCCAAATTTATTTTATCACCTTCAAAGTATGCTCCTTCAGAAACGATACACTTACGCCAACGAATAATTCAATCATCAAAACCTGTTTTAAACGCTTTTTCCGGAATTAAGTTCAGTTCTCGCCGCGAATTCTCCTTTATGTCTTCTACCGATTGAAAACGGGTGCCGCGAAGTGGTAATCTGAGTTTAGGAAAAAGAAACAAGTCGGCTGATTAATATGGTGGTCACTCGATGGTATTATGCAAAATATAAGAATTTTCTTACCACAAATCTGGCCTTTTCGTCGACTTTGCTCTCTTAAACGCCGCATAACGCTCAAATAATATTCTTTACTTACCGTTTGACCTTCCGGCAAGAATTCCGAGTGCACAACACCGCGATTGTCAAAAAAAAAATCAGTTAACATGACTTTGACTTTTGATCGACTTTGGTGTGGTTTTTTCGGTTTCGGTTCAGTTGGCTTGTTGACTAGTTTGCATGTCAAACTCGTAAACCCACGTCTTGTCACCAGTAACAATGCGTTTCATGAATGTTGGGTCGGAATTGACTCGTTCTAGCATGTCCTCAGCGACTCTCATGCGATTGAGTTTATGGAGAAAATTCCCAAATGTTTAGTTAAAATGGTACGGACCGACTCGTGAGTTCGGCTACTATCTCTCTCAAAGTTGAATGAGGATTTTCAGTCACTATTGCCTTCACTTTTGCGATGTTAACTTCAGTTGCAGATATTGATGGCCTATCAGAGCGAGGCAAATCTTCCATCACATCTCGACCGCTTTTGAACGCTTTGTACCACTCATAAGCACGTGTTTTTGTCGATTCACCGTAAACCTTGTGTAACATTTTCAGTAACTCTGAACACAAAATTCCATTGGCGATGCAAAATTTAAGACAAACTGTTTGTTCGATATTTTTGTGCATTATGAAATTCGCAACACACACAAGATATGATATTACTAAAAATAGCACTGTATTTAATATAAATAACAGATGCAACTCAAACTCCGCGCCAAAATGGAAAACCGTTGTGCCAATTTAACAACAACAAAAAAAAACACAAAAATTTGAATTTGGCACCATAAACAAATAATCCATTCCTTTCCTACTTTCCTACTTTTTGGACTGAATGTATAGATGATGTACCAACAGGTAATAGGCTTATTACCTGTTATCATAATAATAATCTTGACGGCTATAATAAACGCTCACTAAGCTGATGTCTTTGTGACTGCCTTAGTCGGCTACGGGATGAATAGGGGTGGTGACACGTGACAATTCGTATTCTTAATCTAAGTCACAAGGACACCAAGGAATAATTTTGAAAAAAAGAAATGTCAGAATTTAGACTATTACTGCTGGTATGCAGTAATTAGTTCTATTTCCTGGTCGGTATCATTATTTCTTCTATTTTGTAGAAGCTATATAGAACCTAATAACTTCCAAAACATTATGCTGATAAGAAAATATATTATTACTCTACATATTATTATTTGTTTGTTGGTGTAAAAGTTCATAGTCGTTAAGATACTTATTCTTATGCCCGTAACCCTGAAGGGTTAGCAGGGACGTGTTAGACACTGTGATTTTGTCAAATATTTTTATTTCACTTAGGTAATGCGAGTCTAGTGCAGTCTACCAGACATTTATCTTCAGAACAAATTGGGAAAAATATGAGTATGTTTAGGCAATGAAGATATTAAGGGAAGAAATTGTTTAAACCAATGATTTGAGAGGAAGTCCCATAAACAACATAACTGCACTACTCGGACCTTCTAAGAACAGCCCATTCAAGCAAAAACATCATAGTGTTTGATATATTATGGTAAATTTATAAAGTGTCTGTAAAGTTGTAAAAATATTTTCTACAGCCTTGGCAAAATTCAAATAGAAAACTGTTTAGAAACTCATATTTTGTGAGTTTTTGTACTTTTACTTATGCACACTTCACAGTCATTTCAATGACTAAACCCACAAATTGTTTCTAAAACCTTCAACAAGAGCTAATCTTAATTTCTCATCGTGTTGAATCAGAATGAATTCGTGTTGCAAATGTGATGTGATTATGACGATTACAGCTAGCCGCCACAACGATTGTTATCTATGTAAATCCAAGCGCCAATTATGGGCGCAATGAAGTCACTCACCCCTAAAACATTTAGTATGAGCAATCGATAGTTATAAGTAACGGGGTGTAATGAAATATTTGTAGGTATGTAACGCCTTTCAAGAAAATAAGTCATACGACCTCGTGAATAACCATCAGTTCTACATAATATGTAGGTATACTTATTTTATTTGCTGCCACGAACGCAAATATTAATTTGTTCATTACTTTTCTAAAGCATGTTTGTTTGAAGTTTCATTTGGCATATTTCAATAAATAATTCAATATTTTATCAATTAATTAATTAATGTATCGAACTAAAGACAGAAAAAATCCTTACGTATGAAACATGATTTATTTCATAAAACTTTGTAGAATATAAATAACAGTTGGTTAAGACAGGCATACGATAAAATATAATAACTGAATTATAAGAACAAGATCACTTTAGATAGATAGTTTGTACTAGTAGCATTTATTCTATCAGTTTGGTATGGTCTTTGTTCATGTTATAAGGGCATGGGTGTTATCATGGCAACGGATGCAGAATGCAACGTAAAGCCATGTCGCAATATATGAGATGATAAAGTAAACTGAACCTATTGTTAATGTTAGACAGTAATTGCCTGAAGTTTCTTGCCACTTTTGTCGCAAGCTATATTAAAACAAAAAGATACTAAGTATTATTACATTTTAATTAAAGGACCCAAAACAATCAAATGTACAGGGCATATATTGATACTTGAGCTCAAGTTTTGTCATGTAATGTTTGGAAAAGCACATTAATTACTTACATTTAAACGTATCATTAAGTTTGAAATCGGAGAACATTTTGTTTAATTTCTATAGCTACGTTTGAAAAGCATTTATCTCCAAGATCCTAGACTTTTAATTTCAGCTAACAAGATGGCTGTTTTTTATCGAATTCTTTTGAATTATGCGCAGTTCTTCAAAATGCCAAGCATCAACACCCTTGTTACGATATAAATAGCCTGGAATACAATGTTGTAAATTATTTGACATATTAATAATTGTTCTACCATAGTTAAGACATACCTTAAGAAAACAAATGCATCTATGGATAGTTATTTAGGACTCAGCATTAATAGTTTCAAATAACGCGAAGGAAATCGACATTTAGTAACTACTTATGTTATTGGGCAAATTTATTTCAACGGACCCATCGACCCGTTAATATTTAATTCCTTTCGGCCGAACGTGGACGTTCACTTATCAAAAGTGACATTCCATTACGAATGAAAGAGCGAACTTACGAGTTTCGAGCCCTTTACAGCTCAGTGTTAGAGTAATTGTATGTAATATGCTAGCGTGCCTCCACTAACCTACATTTTGTACTTTAATTATTGGCCCACTTCCATTCAGACCGTTTATGAACGACAGACGACCTATTTTAGCTATCGTTGATCGCCCCACTTTCGCAGTCAGCTAACACCATATAATAGTCCTTTAACGCTAATTAAATGTCGTAGAAATGTACCTTACTTACTGATTGCTGATCATGTTGGGTTAATATTTCTAACTGGGTGGACTTCCAGATAGCTATCTCCACTAGGTTTTTAACTGTTTGCTCTAAAACCTTTATTGTTAATTTTTTTATCACATAATCTCCATTTACATCCTTAATCTAAAAGCCTTCTTTTATTTGATTTTATTTTCTATTTAATTGCAGTTTTCTCTTGAACTGAAGATGTAAATGACGTCACATAAAAGGTTTACTTAATTAAACTTTACTGTTCAAAATGCTATGCTTAAGAAGTCTGAATTATATGGTTAGCCACAAGTCGGTGACTAATGACTCTTTTACATCGCGGCAACAATTCCGTGAACGTTAACCAATTTGCATAATATGCAGGCAGTATTGTAGGTACCTATTAAGTAGCGAGCTCCTCAACATAAGACCCAATTGATTGTGGGTGGTAGACAAGGTACATACGAGGGTGAAGTAGCGACGACACGGCTTGTGTCTGCGTCAGTCGCGGAGGCGCCGCGGCGGGTCGCGCACGCCGGCATGCTGCGCCTGTGCTGCTGCCCGCGTCCTTCTGTCGCGCCTTCCCCCGCGCACGCCCTCGCACTCGACCTAGTCGCCGACCTGCCACCCCACACGCGGTAATTACACCAAGGGGCGTCACGTAAACAAACAAGCACACGCTGCTCTGTTCACGCATCAATATGTATTCGTTTATGTTTGCAGAGACTCCAGTGCGCTCACGAGCTACGAGGACGGTGAAACTGGGAAAAAAGTACAAACCTCCAAGGGGAGACTGAGTGATAAATTAGAAAATGACTCTGCAACAGACGTGAACATCACAGCAGAAGAGACGACTGATCCACCGCTACCATCCCCTCGCTCGCTCTCGATAAGAGTCGAGGACTACTCCGAGAGGTCAACTGCCTCGCCTAGTAGTGTACGCTCGCGTCTAGAGGTACCGCAGCCTGTAATCGGTGGTGGACCTGTTGATGTTTCTCCTGGAGAACAGAAAAATGATAATACGTCGCAATACGACTCTTTGGAATCTACTAAAACTGTTATCGAGGAGTCACAGAACCGCGCCGCTAGCGCTCGAGCTTCTCCTAACCCACCGAATAGCGTTAGTCCGACGCCGCCTCGAAGTTCAAATCCGTCGCCGGCCCGAAGTGGAAATCCATCACCGGACCCCGTCAGTGATGTTTACGAGCCAGCACAAATATCCGAGAGAGACGTTCGAACTGCACTAGCTGAATGTATCGTACCTGCACGTCATGAAGACTGGGAGGTGATCGTCAGCGCCCTCGTCGAGACCGAGCGATTAGCGACGGATCGTTCGGCGCGGGCTCCGGCCTCGAGTTGGCGGGCCGTCACTCGAGCGACCGCCGCTCACGTTCGTTCTCTGAGATCCCGAGTAGCACGGGCTGCCTGCTCTACTCTGGGTGTTCTGTTCGAGCACCGTGGGCGCGCATTGGACCCGGAACTGGACGAGGCGGCCGGGGCGCTGCTGGAACGCTGCGCCGACGTAAATCGGTTTCTGCGTGCTGACGCAGCAGAAGCGCTGGTCAGGCTCGCCCAAGGAGGGAGCGATGTGCGTGCTGTGGCGACGTTGGCGCGGCGTGGAGCGGCACACCGAGCGGGCCCGGTGCGTGCGGCCGCAGCGCATGCGCTGGCCCGTTTCGTGTCTCACGCCGGAGCAACCCGAGCGCTTGCGCTGCCGCCTGACACACGAACGTCGCTGCTGCGTGCCGCCGGCGAGCTGCTCGGCGACGCAAGCGCCGATGCCCGCCTTCATGCGCGCAACCTTTGCCTCGCGCTCGGTGAGGATGTACGATTCCGACCAATGCTCAAGGAAGCGATGCCTCCCTCGCGCTATCGAGCGATTGAGAAGTTAGTTGATAAGTTGCGTTGTCGATAGCGACTGAGCAGGGATAAATTATTTTCTTCGATGTTCGTCCAGAAATTACATCCGTAAATACTAAGTGTTAACGTGACTGAATTATGCGAAAGGTATTTTTCTAGTTATCATAGTTGTGTATGATGTACATAAAAATTGTATTGTTATCCTCCAATGGAGTGAACGAACTTTATTATATGGTGTTTTATTTATAAAATTTTATTATCTAAATAAATTTTTAAATGAAAATTATTTTTTTATGGAGTTTAAAAAAATCTTAAAACCACTCTTTGTTTCCATTGCAGCAAAGAGGTGTTAAGTGATCCGCATCATCGAGAACGAAACATAGTAATTGTAAATTGCCACAGATAACACTGTACAACACTTTGACATGTACAAACTGCAATAGTAACAGTTTAAATGTTTATCTAATTACAAAACCATTTCAAAATATCAACATTAAATAATTAGACCAATGTTGTATGTTGTTCTTAATTAATTAAACAAAAGCCTTCTTGGATCCATACTGTTTTGAAACGACTATGTTCTGAATGGCTTTTTTAGAATTGACGTATCCGTGGTTATTGAAACTGATTTCGTTCATATTTTGGGGAAACTTATATATCTATACAGTGCACATTGTGCCTAATAAAAGTCCCGAATGGTGTGCAAGAATGGTCACTTTGCTCCATGGTACTGTTGGCTCTATATTGGGATTATACCAATGTGGTTGTATACGGAGCATTGATTCAAGACAATTTACAAGTGAGTAAACCAGTCAATCAAATCGATAAGAAATTACCATGTTGATTTTTTATCGTAGTAGGAACAATCGATTCGCAAGCTGTAAACACAAAGCTCGTTACTCGTAAGAGTATAGAAATGGGTGTGAAATCAGTGTTCGGTATTCAAAGTTATCGATCAGTATACAATAGGTAAATACCTCATAAGCCCGGTTGTGTGCGATACTAAAAGTATTCACTTAAACTGACAGTGGGTTCTGCATTGTTCATTTGAATTCATTTTCCTTTCATTTCTATCCTGAATAGATATCCTGTAATTAAAATTCAAAATGTTTTACTCTATGTTATTAACTACAGTACATATTGTGTCGGAAATGTTGTTGTCGGTTCGAATCCGAGTTCACTATCCGAAAGTGTCCGCCCGGAAAACCCCAGTTTTTCACAGAGATCAGTAATTGTTGTTTTATTTTCTAAGCAGGTTCTCTTGCTTCTTTTATTCTTGGCAAGAGATTCTGCAGAAATATAAAGGAGCAATCGATAATCTCTAATTTACAGGAAAGGTGATGCCGTCTCAATATGCACTGATGCTTTGGTCCTGGGGCTATTTCGCGTTTGATTTGTTATGGTGCTGCATTTACTGGTCGGATGCCACCCTAATGCTGTGTCATCATATAAGCGCTTTAAGCGCTATAACTATATACATGCAAAAGGTTTATACGGGCTCCACTTTCGCATGTACATTACTCCTGCTAGAAGTAACTAATCCACTACTTCAAATGAGATGGTGAGTGGTTTGTCTCAACCATATTTTAGGCCACATTCCTGTTATTTACCTAACATTAGACAAAGCGTTAAAGTCGTTAGATTCTCATGCTGTTCAATAGGCGCCCTTCAATGGATACTGTCCGAAATGAAAGAAAAATTTTATTTTTATTTTTTTAACAGTCGTAATCTAGACTGACGAATCAATCGGTTCTTCATTGATTAAATCTGTCTTTATAGAAATATTTCAAGAATAATTACAAGGAACCTCGCGTATATACGTACCAGATACAACAGTTTGTTAAAATACAAATACTACTAAATCCTTGCAATCTTCAAGGTGCTAATGTAACCAGAAGAGCAATTCTCGTAATAAAAGTTCGGTCACAATTCAGTTCCGATCAACTCTTGATCTCACAACTATCATAAAAGGTATAAAATCTATGTGGGGTCAGTAATTTATAAATATTGCAAAATTGTGCTGACTTAATATATTATCTCAAAAAGTGCATGAAGGCGATGATTAGAAAATGCATCATTATTTTAAAAGCAGAATTTAATAATTTAGCCTGTAACTGTTGGTGTTATGGTAGGATTGGTTAGTGATTCTGACTGCTGAGATAGAGGGCGTGATTCTCACTCTGGACAAACAATTATTTGGTGAGCTCGGTAACGTGTATAGTAAGTAAATGTACGTATATAGAAATATTTATGTACGTTTATCAGCAGTCTGCTTGCCATAGTATAAGCACTGCCTGGTTTGGACTCGGACGGCCATGTGTGAGATGTGTGTAAATATTATATTTTATTTTACTTTGAAATACAAGATAGGAGTGCCCAAAAAATCTAACAATCTCTTGTGTCCCGCCGCTCTTGGTGGTCGCCTAAATTTAACACGACTAGCTATCCTGCGCAACTTTACCTGCGTCTCGCAAAAATATATTTTTTCCTCTTTTTACAACATTTTTCATCAATGTTCGGCTCCTACAGGTCACAGCGTTATGTTATATAGCCTTTCTCGATAAATTGATTATCTAATACTATATTATCAATTTTTTAATTCGAACGTATAGTTCCTAAGATTAGCGCGTTCAACCAAACATTACTATAGATATAGCTTAATAATATTAGTATGGAAACCCTAAATCAAATCTACTTTTGCAGGTTTCTTAAACAGGAAGGATATGGAAAGACATCTCTTTGTCTTTTCATAGAGATCGTTTATTTGACAATGTTTTTATTACTGCGTGCGATATTAGGCACATACGCAGTGTACCATGTATTAAGGTCAAACTATTTCTGTTGGGAACAAAAGTTGATTTCTATAAGTTTGTACGTCGTGTCATTAGCCTTCATGTATGACATAACGGGATACATACTGTATAAATACAAAAGGGAAGTAGTAAGTAAAAATCGTTTAAAGTTTTGTAAAATGTATTTTTTTAGTTATTATTATTGTTGTAAATGTATTAGTTTAGTTGGAATTTTTAGATGTTCTCATAAGGCTCAACCTTTCAGAAACGAGCTGTTGTAGTTTGGCACAGGCATATAGGAATAGATTTTCAATACGTATCATCATCAGCCTATCGCAGTCCAATGCTGGACATAGGCCTCTTCCATTGTACGCCACTTAGATTAATTTTCGGCTTCTCCGATCCAACGATATGTATAATTTTTGCTATTGTGTGGGTTGATCTATAACTTTAAAGTCTTAAGAGATGACATGTTGAGTTTGAGTGGAAACAGCACATACATTGGTACCCTGCGTCCCCAAGACCCGAGTCAGAGAGATCTGAAGAGATTTTCCACCCCAGCAAAAAAATATCAAGCATTTTAGTGTTTTTTTGTCTTCTAATGGAGTTTTTTTTTTAAATATATGTCAACTTTATGCTTTGTTTAATTAATAACCTATTAATTAGTATTTCAGCATTATTATAATTAAATAAAGAATTTATTCTATCATTTATCTATTGAACTCTTTAAATATGTTTGGTAAAAATGTATTGTTACATTATCAAGAACTTAGGAATATACTAAATCATCCAACGAACATAGACATAAACTCACGGCTGTATCTTCTAAGGAGTAAACAGAGATGTATTCTACCGTGGGAGACGAAGGCTTTGGCAGAAATGGGCCGGCTCGACCGGAGTGCTACCACGGCCTCACAAGAAACCAGTGTCAAGTATGGAACCAGAATGGTTTCGAGCTGATGATGTCCAGTCATATGGGCTGCAGCTGAAAATCAGCGTTGGAAGGCACCTGTGGCCATTCAACAGTATGCTGAGCTACAGACCTAGATGTACTTTTTGTAAAGAATTTTGCAAGAGGTTACCGGAGGCACAATTCTTAATTTCTGGGTTGGGGCATAGAGGACGGCGAGGATACAAATACAAAACAAGCGCACAACGATTGACAAATAACGATATCCGGCCTCCATGAGCGCATGGGACGGTGGCGAAGTGTTTCGCGCGCCTCTCTGAACTGGAAGGATGGCAAAGTCCTTGTACCTAGTGGCGTGGCAAGGTCTGCCAGGGTTCTTGGGGACTTTCTTCTTAGGGTATACTCAAGCATGTCGGGGCACCAGGGACTTCCTTTTTAGGGTATACCTGGTTCCCCAGCTATTAGTACCCGAGACGGCGTGCGGTTTTAGTCGGTTCGAGTCCGACATGCCACCGACAGGTGGTATCCGAGGGGATTTCCGCACGGAAAAAAAAAGGGTATACTCAAGCGTAATAGACTTACATCGTTACGTCACTTACATCATACGTTTTTTTAATCGATTCAGAAATTAAATGGGCAAAATTAATTAAATTTCAAAAAATACATTCAAATTAAAATCGCTATGATGTTCAAAAATATATTTTATAAATTCTTAGTCAGTATAATTTAAGATGTCGTGATAGGGGGGGAATTACCTTTACCGTAGATACTTTACGTACCTACTGGTTCATAGTGTATATAACAGTATTTTGTATACTTTAGACTCGTTTTATTGGGTATATTGGATTAAAATTTTGCTATCGTTTTCAGGATATTGGTTATGCGAGATTTGCTGAATTTTGGCAAGCGACTTGCCTGACCTTTAATGAATGGCAACCCTTAGCAGAAACACAAGATTTCTCATTTGAAGGAAAAGGCAAAGAAGTGTTACCATCCTAGCGTACATAAAAAATTGATTCAGAACGTGTTGTAGCCAGATTATAGCCATTTGGACTTAAAAATAATAACTAAAGCAGTTGGGCTCCAATCACACAGATTAAATAACTAACAATAAAATGGATCTAACGTCATCTCATCGGTGACCGACTAAGCTTTTTACTTATTTAATAGTTCTATAAAAAGTATAATTAAGTAATACTTTGTTACAGTCACCCATTAAACATTTCGCTCATTTGCTACAAGGTCGACTTATCTCAAAATTGATGATTTTTTAGTTAATAACACAGTTGTGTAGAAAAAATAGCGCTCCGTTAACTGTAAAAACCCTATTTCTCTAAAGTCTTTAGTTACGAAGACAGAGCAAATATTCACAGTTGTGCTGTTATAGCACTGTCTCTTTCGTTCAGGTTACTTGCGGCAACAATGACATTATTTAGTTGCGATGTGACAGTGCGAGCGGTAGGCGGTACTTGTGCTCTTGAAGAACGACATTTCTTAAGTAATAACGCGTTTGCCGGTAAGTTAACTACAATTTATTTTAATATATTTTCAGGAATAATGTGTTTAGTATAAATGTCTCGTTAATGCAGATAATATTTGAATAAATTAGTACAGGCTTATTTCGTGTTAAGACGATGTTGCTGAAAAAATTAATACCCATTAGAGTATTATTACTAATTATGACGTTGTTGTTAATAAAGAAAACGATGATTGAATATTACAATAAAAAATATCTATACTTATGTCATTACACTTAAAAATAATTTGCGTTATTTATTGTAAAATATTACAACATTTTGTAATAAAACGTTCTAGTCAATCATTCGAGTCAAGTTTTCTTATTTATGTCGGTCTCATAATTTATTATAACGTTTTGCATTTTAGGTGATAATGGAGTTGCCACGTGTTTCCATAGGCAAAACAATTGTAGCAATAATAACTCATCCAATGAAGAAGTTACGTCCAATGAAACCACACACTAACTTTTGTTTTCTGTTGTAATTATTGTTGTTCTCGCGTATCTACATAGAATTAAACTATAAATACAACTTTTCAGGTAATGAAAGAGCCAACCAAACAACACAAGAAATGAGATCTTTATCAAATGGGAGTAGTTCTTCTACCAGCTCGTCATCTGATTCAGATTCGTCAGATAATACGTTTATTGAAAGTTAGTAATTTAATTATTGTAGTGAATCGAATTTGCTTACAAAAATATTAAATTAAATATTAAGTTTATATTTATTTTGTAGATAGTGATGACTTGTCAAAGATCCAATATATACCTAACTGCCAGCTAACTGCCATCAACAGCCTATACTAGTCCACTGCTGGACATAGGCCTCTCCTTAGAAAGGAGGTTTCATTGACAATTCCATTGCTAATAATAATTTTCATATGATTCCATTGTCATGTCAAACTTCAACAGAAAATAGGATTCCTGCAAGTCCGAAGGCAAAACTAGGAAGAAAATACTGGACAAGCTTATGAGACTGCTAGCAAGAAAATAAAAGAAGAGAACAATGTGGAGATAAATGACGGTTAAAATGTCAAACTAAACTATCTAAAGATGAAAGGAAGACATTTTTTAACTACTATTGGTCATTAGGACATAATAAAAACAATATATGATGTCTTTGAGAACTCTTATTATTTTACAAGAACTTTTACAAAGAAGAAGAATTTAAAAAGCAGAAATTATCAGAAACAAGAAAAGGATTGACATAAACGTCAAAAAAGCTTATGATCGTAAGCCAGGCACATCGGACAGAAAGAAAGATTTGTTAGACTCGTTAAAGAGAAATCGAATTCCACAGTTCTATGCTCGATTTAAAATTCTTTGCAGAATTTTTTAAATTTTATTTTGAATTTTATGTTCAATTTTCGTTAAAGACTGTAATTTTATTATTGAGGCTGATTTTGTGATACTTTTCTGTATAGATGACTAAATAATGTAGTAGAGTTGATTTATAAGACTGATGTGCTATTTTAATTCGATAACGATTAAGTGTTAATTACCTACTATTCATTTTATTATGAAAAAGTTATTAATGTAACTATATTGTAGTTTACTTTTGTTTCCGATATTAATAAAAATATTTTCAAAATTGACATATTTTGTTATTATTACTATCAAGTTTACTTTAAATGTAAAATAATTATCGAGTGTAACGTCATAAGTCATAATACTACTTTTTTTTTTCTATACTTATCTGCAACAATGACATAAGTGTTTCCTTGCTGCGAAAAAAATAGCACAGTATATCATATGTACTTTTTAAGCAAAGTTTAATATTTTAACAGAAAAGTACACTAATCGCACAATATTTTTGTCTAAATAAGTTTTCTAAAAAGCCAACGCTTATCGTATATATTTAACTAGAAACTTTAAAATTGCTCTCCTGTAAAATGATATCTTTTGAGAAATGTCGACCTTGTTGCAAATGAGCGATTTGTTATATTTGAGTATTTTGATACTTAAGTACTTGATACTTACTTGAGTTAAGATCCTTGTAAGTCTTCAACGTTAATACATCTTTTATATTTCTAAGATGGCGACCAAACATACGACCCGTCTAGTCGTAAACGTACTATTGTCATCTTTACCCTTTTTTTTCCGTGCGGAAATCCCCTCGGATACCACCTGTCGGTGGCATGTCGGACTCGAACCGACTAAAACCGCACGCCGTCTCGGGTACTAATAGCCGGGGAACCAGGTATACCCTAGAAAGGAAGTCCCTGGTGCCCCGACATACCTCGGGTCGTCTACAGACGAGTAGACGACCCCCCCCCCCGTGTGGTGTCATCTTTACCCTGGGCAGTCACATAAAAGTAAAAAAAATAAAGATCGCTTTTTAAGAAGTATTAAAATTGATTTCATATTTAAATTCATTTATTTCTGCTAAGCTAGAAGTCGTGGGTTCGATTCCCATCCAGGACAAATATTTGTGTGATGAGCACGGTCATTTTTTCTGTGTCTAGGTGTAATTTATCTATAACTAAAATCAGTCCTAATATTGGGTCTGAGTGGAGATTAGTTTTCCGATCCCTCTCTGCCGCTTCCCTCTGCAAAATGACGTCTTCGTAGAAGGATGCGACCGAGATAAAACATCTTTCACTACCGGCCATGGAGAGTATGACGACCGGTAGCGAGAAATCCTCTCCAATGACTGCAATCAGGACCTGACTTTACGGCGCCCATGCCGGGCTACCAGCTTACCAGCGTGTGCTGAGCCGCGTACTCACTGCAACTAAGCAATAGCAGTGGTAACAGGCGTGGCTCAATTCCCTCCTATCGACCCAGTGCAGGTACTTCCCAAAGCAGCCGTGCCCGGAAAGGATTTATGTCAGCCGGAAGTAAAGGGTCCCGTGCTGCCATCCGGCCCATCCACGGTGGCAAAACCAGCACGTGGAGCCTCGAGCCGGGACGACCAACGAGCTATTGTAACTCGACGAGCAGCCTCACGCCACTCGCGTTTTTCTTCAGGCGGGGGCCGACTGCTGCTAACGCCGCCGATATACTTCGGCGTGCAGCAGTCTGGTTACCATAGTAGATACAGCCTCTTCCTAGTATTGGATCAGACTGCCCTGACTGTGTGAGACTTGACTTATCATTATTTCATAGTAAAAGGATCCGTTCAAAGAATATAGTATCTATGCAACATATATCACGCCTGCTTTAAAAATATATCACAATAATTGGCATAGTGGTAAAAAAACCTGCGTTACCTGATTTTTTTAAGAACACATTGATCTTTTGTAAGGACCAATACACCGAAGAATGTACTATCTCTCTTTAGCCTTACTTTTAAAACTATGTGTCTAAACATATATTTGGGATCACCAGTAATTCCTTATGCTCCTACTTAAGATTAGTTGGTACCCAGGTTGTGAGACGGTGGAGCAGAATTCTGGACCTACTGTTAATAGGATTTGCGCACTGATCAATGCTTATATTTATGTTGTCTACATGGGGTTAATTTACATCATGTTAAGTCTGTCTTTGTTAGTCTTCTAAGTTTATTTAAAACAAGTTTTTCAGTTTCTTGCAAATGGAACTGCACCAATTAGCATAAAATCTATAAAAGCTGTCCGTAAGAAATGAGAAACCATTTCTACTTTAACTTTCAAATTAATTCTCTGCAAAAACCATGATGTACATACAAACAACTGTTTTAGGTAAATCTATCAAAAATAAAAAAATGAAATATAAAAAAACTTTAGTTTATTATATGCTAAGTTGTCGTTGTAGTTGATTTCTCAAAAACAAATTAAATTATAAAATTTAAATTTTAGAGACAAATTATCACATTTATTCACACAACACATAACATGTATTAAACAATTAAAAAAAACACATACAGCAGTTGCGTTTTTGCACACTCAGGGGTGTGTGTAATCACTGTAATCACACTTCTGCAAAACAAACATGTGTACAGTTGTAGATAAAAAAAAACTTGTGGTCAGCCATCTGTAAAATACACTCTTCAATATGCGCCACAAAAGTGAATTCTATTTTATAATGTAGTGAGTTTAAACTTAAATACAGAAACAAAGACCTCACAGCGAAGACATGTATTATTATACATGTCTTCGCTGATTGTCTGATTCTAAATATTATTTTGACAGGCCTGTTTAGTATGGTGGTTAGTGATCATGACTGCTAAGGCAGAGGTAATGTGTTTGATTCAAATTCAAGACAAAAATCATTTGTTCTGTCTGGGTGTAATTTATCTATAATATGTACATATTTAGAAATATATAAGTATGTTTTTCATCAGTACTATAGTACAGGTTCTGCCTAGTTTGAGATCAGATAGCTGTATGTGAGATGTCGAGTTGGTATTATTACTTTACACAACCAAGTTAGCAAATGAGCACACAGCTTATATTGGTAAATGGTCACCAATGCCTGTGAACACTCACACAACTTACTGTTACTTTCACAATATCAAACTTCCCTTATCCCTGCTATTTAGTTGAGTAAAAGCAGTTAGCTTGTGACATTGGTTGACAATGACATTACCAACTACCCTGGAGTCACCACACAGAGGTGACTGATAAGAATATGATGTATCTCCCTCCTCTATTCATCCCGTGGGTGTTGTAAGAGCCAACTAAAGGAGCAAACTAGACAGGTCACCAGCACTGCAAAAAAGAAGGATAACTAGACGCAAACCCTATACCAACCCTGGTCTGACAGCATGGCATAGTAAGCCAAAACCTCTTTTCTCAACAAAGGGCCAATGTACAGCAGTAGACTATTGAAGGCTGATATTGTGATGATGATAATGTGGTGTGTTGACAATGAGTTGAATTTGAGCAGAAATCAGTTGTATGAACTGAACTTTAATAGACTCTAGTTGAGTCTATTAAAGTTCATTTGTTTAGTAATCTGCAATAACAGAACTTGTACAATGATTTAGTTTAAAAAAGGGCTCACACTTACCCTCTATTATTATTATTTAAAAAAATCTTTCTATTATCTACTTAGATGTGCCACTATAAATATATTTTAATTTTACAATTATGTTCTCATCTAAGCAAATCTAATTCCTAATGAGAATAACATTTCTGGAACCCGAGTATAAACCACATGAAATTAATACTAAATAAAGTATATTTATTACTCTATACTTAACATTTTTACAATAGTTGAGTTTAGAAATACACTACAGATTTTTAAATTTCTATATTTTACTATTTGTTACATAATTACAATTACCTGTAAAATGACCTTGAAAGTCCATCTTAGTACAGTAAAATGTCCAATTAAGGTAATACCACAAACATGTTGTTACCTAGATGTGTATAAATGTAAAATAAACCCTATAGACTATCTGTGGTAGTTATTCTTTTTATTGTTTCTTCTTTCTCTCCAGTTATTTGAATTAGAATGTTTATTCCTATTATTTCCCTTATAGTTGTCATTGTGTGATTCTCTAGGCTCTCTTTGTCTGTAGTCATCTCTGTGTGATTTTTCTTTAGGTCTGTACGGATGATGCCTATGCTGCCAATTACCCTGCAAGCTAGCTATAACTAGTCTATCCGGCTTATCTCCACCTTGACGTACCGTGTGCACCATTCTTAGGTCATCCTCTTTCAAATTTTCAGTCATATCTATAAACTGTTGAGAAATGTTTGGTTGTAGAGGGAATTCCATAACAGGCTCAGGTCCATAACACCTTATCGGTGGTGGTAGCACTGGCATTCGTCCTCGACATTGAAGCGAGAGTGTCCTATGAAACAGAGACGTTCCACGAAACAAATTTATAGCATATGGGACTGAAATCTCATGGCAGTATGTGATGAAAGCAAAGTTCTTCTGCCTCCCATCCCTGTCCTTTGGTATTCTTACCTTTTCAAGCGGACCTGCCTGTAACCACATAACAAATTATACATGCATTTAAACGTATTTAGCAGTTTAATATTTACATTGAAAACTATTATACGAACCTGTAGAAACAACTCGTATATTAACTCCTCGGTGGCTTGCTCTGGTAAATTCCCACACCAAAGAGTTTTATTATCTTCGTCGATCATTATATTGTAAGATATTGAATGAAAAATCAACAAAAATAACACGCTTCTTAAATTAACTTCAGTTTACAAAACGCCCACACATACCAATAGATAACTGTCAAACAGTGTTACCAATTACCTCTTAGCAATTACCATACCACAGAGTGCCACGTGCTACAGACTACAATAACACGTAGTACTCGTACCATTAGTAGTAGTACCATCAGATTATATTCAATGGCCTATGGAGTTTTCAAAATAATAACTGTTTTTTACAATTTAATGGCAATGGACCAACCATTGCCATCCTTATCGTTTTAGGTCGTTTATTCATACTCACTGTATCTGCAACTTTTATAACATAGATGGTGTTACTCCTAACTTTATTTCGTTAACTACAATAAAAATTAGTTGTATAGTCCTACCAACTTATCTCTGAAATGGCGAAAATTGGAACTACGGCCGTCATGTTGAAATGTCATTCGATTGTCAGTGTCTACTACATTCGGGTTCTCTGGTTGTTTTGTCGTGATATTGCTGAATTTATAAAGTTAAATATGCCGAAAGCTATTAAAAGTGATGCTCGAAACATTATTCTAAAGGTTAAAACCTTTTTTGAAGAAGAAGCTCGGGCGGGGTCTCCGATTATTCCATTTAATCAAATATACAAACGAATTTCGGCAGCGACAGGTTAGTGTTGTCAACTTTCTTGTTATAAATTACCCGGTACTTAACTAATTATTTAAGTCCACGAAATATTCGTTTCTATTCTTGCTGCGGGTTAGCGTAACGGTAACGTACATCTATTAGGTAACCTGCTAAGTGAGTGAGCCAACTAACCTGAAAGATTTCAAATTTCTACTAACATTTATTTTGTTATCTTATATTTCAGGTGTGAGTCAAGGACTAATTTCAAAAATAGTTAAGGAAGAGCATGCAGCAGAAGAAACTGGTACAAAAATTTGGACACCAGGCAAGGAGAGAAAACGTAAAAGTGGATTTGTGCAAGTTAATGATTTTAACATGGGAGTAATACGGAGGAAAGTACATGAATTTTATTCTGCCAAAAAAGAGGTCCCTACTGTTAAAAAGCTTCTAGAGGTCTTAAAGACAAATAAATTACACAGGACAGCGAGAGAGTCTGCGAAAGCTGCTTCACAAGTTGGGATTTCGTTTTAAAAAATCTCAATCCAATGGAAAGGTTCTTATGGAGCGTAATGAAATATCAGCTTGGAGAGCTGGAGCTGGAGTACTTGCATGCAGTGGATAAAAATAATAAATCTCCCCAGCCCCGGCCCATAATTTATTTAGATGAGACCTATATTCACTCTTCGCATACATCGGGTAAATGTTGGCAAGGAGACGGTGAAGACGGAGTATTGGAGCCTGTATTGAAAGGGCAAGGGTATCATGCGGGAGGAGATACTGGATTTGTTACAAATGCACTACTTGTGTTTAAATCAAACACAAAAAGTGGTGATTATCATGACGAGATGAATAGTACCAACTTTAAAAAGTGGGTTATTGAAAAACTTGTGCCTAATTTACGAGAGCCATCCATAATAGTGATGGATAGTGCTCCTTATCAAAGTATTTGTGTGAATAAAGTCCCAAATACGAATTCTTTAAAAAAAGATATGCAATTATGGTTGACCCAAAATAAAATTGACTACGGAGAGAATTTGACTAAACCTCAGCTTTTAGAAATAATTAAGAGAAACAAGCCTGAACCTGTATATGAGATTGAAAAAATTTTAGAAGACAATAGACATAAATGCTTATATTTACCACCTTATCACTGTGATCTCAATCCCATTGAACTCATATGGAGCACAATGAAAAGAAAAGTTGCTGATGTAAATATTGAGCACAAAAATGCTGAAATTCCCTGCCTAGTTAGAGAAGCTTTTGACGCTATTACAGTTCATGAGTGGGCACAGCATAGTAAACATGTTCGCAGGTTAGAAGGAGAATACTTAAAACATGATTTGTATTTAGATAAACCTTTTATTATAGAAGTTGTAAGTGACACTGAAACCGAAAGCGATAGTGATAATGATGATAGTGGTACGGAAATAAGCGGAGTATGGCCTCTCAACCAGGATGAAGTTGTGTATGCAGGTTCATTTAATTACTGTAAACCTGGTTTTCAATAAATTATTATAAAGCAATTTGTTTTTTTTAATTACACTACACTACCACTAGGTACCACTGCTAATTATAATTAGTCAAATCTGGTGTTAGGGGTTAGTTACGGTCATAACTAAATGCTACATATATACATGCATACATAACATGCTAGGGTAGGTACCTACTTAACTTCGCATTAAATGAAAGTTGTATCTCTCCCGTGGAACATTTTATCTGCTGAATTTCCACTTCATTGGATTACTTTTTAGATAAAGCCATTGTTTATTGCTGAGAGACTAAACTGTTAGTGTACCTACGCAACTGTAAATTATCAAATTCTTTTTATTTATTTTATTATTTTTATAGAGGTATCATTATTTTTAATTTGTTTTGTTTTTAATTCTTATTAAACGATTATGTCTAATGTGAAAATTCTTTCTTGAAAACTTACTCAATTTTGGACACCTTATATTAATTAGCAACACTGAATCGACGGTGCCGTCCTCTTTCAGTTCACAGATAAGTTGGTAGGACAGTAATTTCAATCAATTTCGTATCAGGCTAGACTTGAATCACAGTCCTTTGACTCGCCGCTCTGCTGTACACTGCTTAAAGTAAGTTCGTAAAGTAAAGCACTATATAGTGAGGCATTTCAAAGTTTAATTAAGAGGACCAGTTAGTATTACTAATAATTATATTGATGTTGGATACCGTCAAACCATATAATTTCAAACAATTACTCGTGTTCTTTAGATTAGTTTTGTATGAATATGAAAATATAAATAGGTAAGTTAAAGGTAATTTAAATTTAAATATATCTTTTGATTTGAAACAATTGAAACGTACGAAACAATAAAAAATTCCTAACGGAAAATTGAACGACTGATAAATAATAATTAATATACAAATGAAACAACTAATATTTTATGTTCATTTATCCAGCAAATGTGAGACGCCACATTAGGTTATAAAATCATCATAAATGAAAACAATAAATTTTCACTGTCATGAACTCGTGTCACAGTTTAAATAATAATCACCAAGCGATACCATACATGGGCATTCCCCTTTATTTAAAATCTAAATGTTACGATTTTCCTTTAATCGATTTACTGGATAAGCTACATGATTTTTTAAATAATAATCCTTATTGGAGAAATAAGAAAAAAACACTGTTAATTTTGTCTCGCGATGTACTCAAGCATAAACATATGCACTGCAGCAGCAATATTGGCATGTTCACAATGGACACTTGGGTCAGCAATATGGACTTATCAGAAATTGTAAAGCCTTGTTTAGACTCAGTAGATAAACCTAAGCATAGTTATACTAGGCATGCCTTTTAAGTTTTGTCGTTTCCATATTTCCCGGCAATTTTGAATTTGGAACTGTTCTATATTCGAATGTAGTAAGTATTACAAAATCTTATTAATAATAATTCAGATATGCTACAGTTTTTGGCAGATAATAATAATCATTATATTATTTACACTGATGGCAGTAAGGGGAATGATTATGTACGTTCCGCTATTTATGATCCACATACAAAATTCTCTCAAAGATTTGTTCTGCACAATACATGTACTATATTTACAGCAGAGGCATATGCGGTTTTGGCTTGAGGCTAGTGATGCGCAAAATGTATCACTGAGCTGAAAAGATTGATATATCATTTCGCTCAAAAGATATATTTCACTCATCTAGCTCATTTAGCTCACTAACTCGTTTAGCTCACTAACTCGTTTAGCTCACTAGCTCATTTAGCTCACTAACTCGTTTAGCTCACTAACTCATTTAGCTCACTAGCTCATTGATCCGATTCAATTGATTGGTCTCACTATTAATTCATTTCTTCATCTAGATCGTTTAGCTCAGTATACTCGTATATCACTCACTTTAGGCCTCTCTCGCCATACAAACCTTTCTTTATTTTCATATTAACTTTCATATTAAATAAAATTAATTCAGTTTTTGAAACTACATTTTTGACCAATTTTTTTTAATTACAATTTTATTCATTTTGATAAGATTACATAATTATTAACATCCTTTTACATAATAATTAAAAATAAGAAATTATTTCTTGTACTTTTTTTAGGTTGTATAATAGAAATCACACATAATTTAATTTTCTTTGTACTTGGCTTAATGCTTAAGTAATATTAAACTTTGATCCTATAGAAATAATGTACATTTTGCATAAAGAAACCTGCGTGAACTCAACCATCATCTATCTCACTCATTTATCTTTAGTCTCACTCGCTCATGAAACAAAGATCGGCGTCGTTGAGCTAGTGATCTAGTGATCTAGTGAGCTAGTAGTGAGTTACTGATATATTCGGAGCTAGTGTGAGTGAGTGATACATTTTATCGTCGTGAATGATATATATCTTTTATATCACTCACTCAGGAGCTACACAACGCTACTTGAGGCTTTATTACATATTCGCCAAATCAACAATTATAAATAGTTTTTGTTTGTGTCTGATTCAATGAGTTTGATAAAAGCCTTAATTAACCTTACACTCTCATTTAAGTCAAATTATATTCTGTATTTTATCAAAGAAATAATTTATCAATATTATAAAAAATATTTTCTATGGGTACCTTCTCACCGAGGTATCTTGGGCAATGAAATAGTTGATAAAACCGCATATGAAGGTTAGTAATAATGCTGTTGATGTTAGAAATGCAATGGAAATTCCTGACTGATTTTCTGCAAATTATCAATGAAAATGTATGTAAGTTATGGCTAGAAATGTGGAAGAAAGACCAAGACATAAAAGGAAAGTGGTATGGAAATATTCAAGAAAGATTTCCTGTTACACCCTGGTACAATAGAGTGAAAGAAGCCAGCCGAGACTTTATAACTACGATAAATAGATTGCGCT